AATCATTAAGCACCCCCATCTAATATCATTATACCTTTGGATTCCATAGAAAGTTTGACTAGGTGGTGACTGATGACTATTTATTTTATGTAGTAATATTAAAATTCTAAGAACAATAAAACATATTCGATCACGTTAGGTGTTACTCTTATTTTATACAAATTCTTAAATGAATTTGATTCACACAAATTTATTGTAGCCACTAACATCAGAGATACTATGATTGTTTTATTAATAAAAAAAAGTCACTACATTAAAATAAAGGTTATTATGTTGAAATAAAAGCGATTGTGACATTATAAAAGCTATAAGAGGTTAATTTTTTTGGGATGTAAACAGAATTAACATTAAAGGTCATACAAGTTTTAATAAAGGTTACTATGTTAAAAAATAAGGATACTATGTTAAAATTACGGTCACTATGTTCCAAATAACGTTAGTTTTGCGTGTATATAAATCTCAGGTCCACAATAATATTATTGTGGACCAGGTCTACGCAAGAATTTCTGCTTATTTTAATCTAGCTTTGCTGATGCATAAAAGATATGTTACTCAAGAATTGGACCCCCGAATAATGCATTGTTGATTGCTTACCAACTAATCTCTACCATTTTGTAATTTAATCATATCAATAATATCTTGTTCCCACGTGATTCACATGCATGAAACATTACAAAATCGTTAATCAATAACGATAATAATATCAATATCTTTCTCTATCTCTTCCCCTTCCCACATATGATTTTAACTTCGTTTTAAGTTCGACGTACTATTTCGTAACTAAAGTCTTGATTTAATTACTCACAAAATAAATGCACGTGTGCGTAGGTGTAAATGTTGATCAATGGAAATTACTTTGATTGAGGAGTTTATATTATCCTACAAAATCAATAAACAATATGTATGTTGCTTTAAATTAAATATTTTGTTACCATGTATGTTTAACCAATGTAGTTAGACAGTTGCTGTGATTATACTCTGTAAAATCTAGAGTTGCAAAATCAAAAATCTACTTATTATATACTATGTGGAAGGCGTATGGTATGAGCGTATCTAGGATTTAAAATTTTACTGGGTCAACGGGCAAGCTAAGAAAATTAAAAGCAAAAAGTCTTGTATAAGGCGGATTTACGTTAGACAGTCAATTTAAGGGTAATTTTAACATTTTTTTTGATAACTCTAATTCGATCCCTTTAATGAAAAACTGTTAACTTGTAATGAATTTGATTATATTTTAATGTGTAACAAGTGTGTGGCTCGGGCGATGCCTCGAGTTGCTAGTTTGTACTTATTTAATTTGATAATAATGTTCGGTTGTTTTTTCTTAATGTATTGATTATCGTCTTGAAATTTTAATATTTTGAAAAAAGATTTGTATTCAATATTTTGTACCATACTCTCTATGATTCAAAGATATTCAACTATTGACTACTTAACAAAAAATACTTATTTTTCATCAAATTGAAAAACAATACAAATTTTCAAACAAATGTATAATTAAGGACTAAACATCTAATCCAAGTTAAATATAATTTGGTTGAATAAATTTACACAATATATATGGATAGCTAAGGTGGTAATAAGACTTGTATTGTAATACTTGTTGGTGTCGAGTTCAAGTCTTGCTATACGCATTTTTTAGATGTTGTGACGTGACATGTTTATAATGCTTAAATAGGTGACATGTGGCATATATTGATAACTTGACACCTTTATAGAGCTAAAAAGGATAACACGTGACACATATTTTGTTTTAGGAACGCTTTTTAATATATAAGTATAGATATAGTTTTCTAATGGATACGTGCTATGAAAACTAATATGATTAATCTAATACATTATTAGTGTTTTTTAAGAGTAAATTTATACTAGGAAAACAGTAACTTTTGTAGAATATAAGAGTAATTTTAAATACTGTTAGGGTAATGTTTCCACAAAAAAAAAAAAAAAAAAAAAGAATTTAAGGTAATTTTAACCCGTTTTATATTAAGTTAATGAAAATTCGCCTAAATTAATAATTTGTGAATTAAAAGCAAAAGTATATATTCAAAATATACTTCAAAAACCAATGTCTCCAATCCACTTAAGGTGTCAATTCGGATAAACGGGTCGGGTTTGAGTCGGGTTAGTGTGGGTCAGGTCAACTCGGGTCGGGTCAATTCAGGTTAATGTCGTAACCTATGCGGGTCGGGTTCGGGTTGGATCATGCTTGAGTCGGGTCATACATATTATCGGGTTTGGGTCGGGTGTAGGTCGGGACAATAACAAGTCGGGTTACATTCGGGTCGGGTGAATTATAGGTCGGGTCTAATTCGGGTTTTAACAGGTTAAAACAAGTTAGGGTCATTCTCGGTTCGAGTCGGGTTCGGTTCAAGTCAATAATTTGCGGGTTATATTCAGGTTGGGTTATTTTCCAAATCGGGTCATGAACGGGTACGAGTTTCAAATATTGGGTTAATTTGGATCTCGAGTTGATTTTAGGTCGGGTCATATAGGGTTTGGGTACATTTTTCGAGTCGGTTTGTTAACTGTTCATGTATTGACGTTTACGTTTAATCATTATCAATTTCTTCATTTATTACATTTTTTTTCACTTATTTTAGGATAAATAATTTTATATAAGTTCAAATTCGAACTAATGAGTTCATGTAAATTTAAGATAACATATATTAAGTTCATATTAATTCCGATAAGATAGGTTTAGTTAAGATTTTTGAAAGATAAGTTTAGACCCTTCAGGTTAGTTTCAGGTTGGGTCATACGGGATCGGGTCACCATAATCAGGTTCGAGTAAATTTTTCAGTTTGGTTTAGCTTTTGACAGCTCTAGTTCGGGTCACCATTTTCTCGAGTCCAAACAAGTCCGGTCATGATCAAATTCAGGTAAATTATTCAGGTCAGATTATCATCGGGTCATTGTCATATACTAATGCTCGCATTCAATCATTATCACGTTCAATTCAATCATTATCTGAACTTTTTTTTTTTTTTTTAATTTTATTTTATCTGAAATTATTTAAAATTATAATTTTTTTTTTTTTATAAAATATAAGATAAAACAAAATAGCCTAAGTTCAAATAAATGGAAATCAATACATAATTGAAATTTAGAAGTGTTGCAATTCATATGAAACGGATGTAAAAGGAAAGTGTTGCGATTAATATGAAACGGAGGGAGTAGTATTCATAAAATTTTATACATTTTTTTTTCTGACATAGAAATTGTAATACATTGGATAATAAAGAATTTAATTGAAAATATTTGAATAAGCTTAAATAGGAAAATAACTCATAAAATTAGGAGAAAAAAAAAGAAAAACAATAAAAGGAAAATAAATGATTTGACGTAATCCTGGAATGATAATAGACAAACTTACGCGGTTGCCAATATAATCCGGCTCTTAATGAATATTTTTCTTGCTTATCATTAAGAGAAACTGCATATATACAATGTACACGTCTTCATAAATCATCATATGTTAAACTCTAGCTAACTATATGCAGATAGTTATCAATATATTGCCTTATATATTGACTATATAACAATATATAAGGCAATATACTAGGGAACTATAGCCTATAATTTATGAAGCTAATTATCTCCTTTGACCATACAACAAATATATACAATATTTAACACTTAAATTTGGGGATGATGCTTCCTTCTTTTGCTGAACCGACTTGGTCTTCCTGCATCCAAGACAAAATACTTTGATCTATATTAACATATAGTAGTTTTAGCCTTATGAAGTTATGACTTTACAAATAGCTTAGAATATATATATATAACATATATTCTTGTTTAGCTAGTCGAGTTGATTTCAGGTCGGGTCAATAACAAGTCGAGTTGATTTCGAGTTGGGTCAATAACAAGTCAGGTTGAATTGGGGTCGGGTCAATAACAAGTCGAGTTGATTTCGGGTCGGGTTAGTAACAGATCGGGTTGAATGTAGGTCGGATTAGTAATAGGTCGGGTTGAATTCAAGTCAGGTTAGTAACAGGTCGGGTTAAATTCGGGTTTTGACGGGTTAAAACAGGTTTGGGTCAATCACGGTTCAGGTCGGGTTTGTTTCAGGTCAATAATTTACTGGTTATATTCCGGTCGGGTCATCCCCAATTCGATTCATGTTCGGGTTCGGGTCTCAAATACTCGGGTTGACTCGAGTTTAGGGTTGGTTTCAGGTCGGGTCATATCGGTTCTGGTCACCATTTTTTGGATTTAAACGGATCAGTTAATAATCGGGTTCAGATAAATTTTTCAGGTCGGATCATCTTTTAACAGCTCTACAATCCACTTATTATCAACGAAGTAACATTAAACAAATTCCCCAAAAAATTTATATATCAAAATTTACTAATATGTACTCCGTACCAAAATTAACATCTATACTATATATTAAAAGACGTTCCTTTTAAAGAAACGGTGCCATGTGGCACTCTTCAACGTATATGGCACCATGTCACTATGTCACGTCACTATTCAAAGTATATGCGACACGTAAGCTTGCAACAACGTATATGACACCATGTCACTATGTCACGTCACTATTCAAAGTATATGCGACACGTAAGCTTGCAACTTCATTTAACAAAATAAATACATTATGGTTTGATCTAGATTCGAACCTGTAACCTCCAACAAATAAAAGTTGTACAGTTACCATCTCAACCAACTTTTATAAGTGTTTTAAATTTCACATAATTAACATTATATATTTCTTGCAAATTAGAGATTATTTAATTTATTTATTCTTCACAAGATTAGAAAATAAATACATATAAGGTAAAAAAAACCGTAACATCCGAGGCAACGCCCTGATCACACACTAACTATATAAACAGTTGAACATAATTATCAAATTAAAGAAGTACAAAGTACAAACTGGCATAAAAAACTCCCTTGAAAGAGAGGAAACCCTACCTTGAGTGAAAGGAAGCCCTACCTTGCGAGAAGGGTAATTACTCCCACTGGTTTTTCCGGTGGCTTGCTCTGTGTTTCCGATGGCCGATGATTTAGCGAATAGATATGAGAAACTTAATCTCAACGAGAAGGAGGTAGCAGTAGTAGATGTGAGTGAGGTTGCCTCAACCGAACAAGAAGAAAAACTTTCCCTGATGTTGGTGGGTAGATTGTTAAGAGATAGAGGAGTGAATTTCGAGGCTTTCAAGCGTACGATAACTCAATCATGGGCGATGAAGGGGAGGGTTGTAATTCGAAGCACTGGAAATAATCTATATGTATTCCAATTCTTTCATTGGAGGGATAAGGAAAAAGTGATGGATGGAAGACCGTGGTGCTTTGAACAGAATTTACTCTTGCTCAATTCCATTAAAGGGGATGAGCAACCAACTGATGTAATCCTTACTCATTCCCCTTTCTGGGTTCGTTTAGAAAACCTTCCTTTTAATTGTCAATCTAATGAGCATGTGAGAGCAATTGCGTCAACGCTAGGGGAAGTGATGGAGATCGAAGACGAAACCCTATCAATATGCAAGAATAGGAGAGTGAAGGTGGAATTGGACGTCCGAGAACCTCTGCGCAGGATTCAGAGCATAAAAACCAAAGAGGGTAATATCGCTCGTATAAACTTAAAATATGAGCGTCTACCATTCTTTTTCTTCTTGTGCGGGAGAATGGGACATAGTGAGAAGGATTGTATCACTGCCCACGAAGAGGCTGAAACGAATGGTTTTGGGTGGGGACTATGGCTGAAAGCCTCACCTATGAAGGGGAGGAGAATGGAGGGAGAGGAGATGAAGGAACTCAATTCTGGCAAAAAGCTGAATTTTGTCGTGAAGGAAACGATAGATAGTGGACATAAGGTAGTTAATCCGGTTACAGGGGAGCAGTTTAGTGGAGGGCCACTACATTACCTGACATCAAATGTGGGGGACCAAGATGGAGTTGAGGGTATTGACAGGATGGTGGGGGTAGAGGAGGGAGGAGATGTGGAGCCTCTGGGTAAGGGCTCCATGCTTTCGGAGGTGCAGCAAGGCGTGGGGGGTGCACTGAAGTGGAGTGAGATACTAGCAGGGGCTGAACTAAATACGGGGCTAGGGGAAGGAGCTATGGGGAATAAGATTGGTATGGCGGTTTTGTTTAACATGGGCACAGTAGGGGAACAACAAAAGGTAGTGGGTGGGAAGAGAGGTAAGGGGGGAAATAGTAGGCAAGTAGGCAATGTAAAAAACTCAGGGAGGTCTAAGGGGGAGTGTTGCAATGATAGTGGCAGTGTGATAGGGGGAAAAAGAGAAAATTAGAGCATGATGCAGGGGGGGTGGGTGAGAACTCTGATGGGAAGGAGTATGATGGTAAAAAGGAGAGGAGGCTTATGACTGAGGGCTGTAATACCGAGATATCTATGAAAGTAGCGGAGGTGGGTGTCAACTCACCCCGCGAACAACAATGAAAATTATAAGTTGGAACTGTCGAGGAGTCGACAATGCCTCGACAATTAGTGCTCACCGGGAAATGTGTTGGAGAGAGTTGCCAAATCTTGTCTTCATTATGGAGACAAAATTGGAGTCTTGAAGACTAGAGCGAGTTCGGAGGAAATGTGGATTTACAGAAGGTGTAGAGGTAAGCAGTAGTGGCAGAGCTGGTGGTCTTGCTCTTTGGTGGAGAGATATAATGGTAAATATGATTTCTTTCTCCCAGAACCATATAGCGGTGGATGTTGTAGGAACTGACAATAACCCTGTGTGGAGGGCGATTGGTGTATATGGGTGGCCGGAGAAGGAACATAAGCACAAAACATGGAGTCTGTTAAAGAATCTGTACAACTCCTATGAGTATCCAGTGGTCTTTTTTGGCGACTTTAATGAAATTCTAACAGAAGATGAGAAGGTGGGAGGTGTTCCGAGAGCTGAACGGTGTATGGATGGGTTTCGCGAGGCAATGGATAGTATGGGTGTGAGAGACTTGGGATTTAAAGGATGCAAATTTACATGGCAGAGAGGCTTATCGGTCTCAAATCTTGTCAGGGAGAGATTGGATAGAGGCTTGGCTAGTGGAGGTTGGTGTACCCTATTTCCTGGTGCAAGTGTCATCAATTCTCCTATTGTTGTAAAACTCTTTGATCATGGCCCTATTGTCATCAAGGTGGATGGTAGTACAGATGGTGGAAGGGACAAGAAGTTATTCATATTTGAGAAACACTGGCTTTCGAGAACTGAGTGTGAGGGTGTTGTTAAAGACTACTGGAGTAGCGCCTACAATGACCCAATACAAACAAAAATTGCAGGGTGTGCGGCTGCTCTCAGCTCATGGGCTGGTAAGACCTTTGGTGATATTAAGAAGAGAAAGAGGAAGGCGGAGGAAGAGCTCAAAGAAATACAGAAGGGTGTAATGGATGATGTTGGGCTGTCCCGATGCAAACGCCTATCAGAAAAGTTAGCTGAACTTCGTTTGATGGAGGAATCGTACTGGTATAGCAGGGCTCGTGCGTGTGAGCTCCGTGATGAGGACAAAAACACAAAATATTTTCATCACAAGGCTAGCTCTAGAAGAAGAAAAAATATATTAAGGGGCTTGAAAATGAGGAAGGGGAATAGAAAAGAGGCAAGGAGGAGGTACAGGAGATTATAGTGAAATATTTTTCAAAAATATTCAATACTGAAGGGACCTCAGATGGAGAAGAGGCTTTAAAGGGGTTGTCTTGTATGATTACAAAGGAGATGAACCAAACACTTTGCACTGTTCCCACAAGTGAGGAGATATCTAAAGCTCTATTTGAAATGCATCCTAACAAAGCTCCTGGGATTGATGGTTTGCACGCTCTCTTTTATCAGAAGTTTTGGCATATTGTTGGCAATGATATCATTAATTTTATTATTGATTGGTGGTATTATGAACTGGATATTTCGGATATTGGAAAGACTTGCATTGTCCTTATACCGAAATGTCATGACCCCCGTAAAATTACAGAATACAGACCAATCAACCTTTGCAATGTAGTGTATAAAATAATATCTAAAATGTTGGCCAACCGTCTGAAACCTCTGCTAAAAAACATCATATCCCCACAACAAAGTGCCTTTGTCCCTGGAAGACTTATCACCGACAATGCCCTTGTTGCGTTTGAAATTTTTCACTACATGAAAAGGAGGGGTGATGGGAGACATGGGACTATTGCTTTGAAACTTGACATGATGAAGGCGTATGACCGGGTGGAATGGAGCTTTCTAGAGAAGGTTATGCAAAGACTTGGTTTTTGTGAATTCTGGGTTCAAAAACTAATGAGATGCCTTTCTTGTTACTCTTTCCAAATCAAAGCAAATGGGGAGATTTTTGGGAATATTACTCCTACGAGAGGTCTTCGGCAGGGGGACCCTATATCACCATATTTGTTCCTGTTTGTAGCTGATGCTTTTTCTAGATTCTTATCTTACAGTGCAGACGAAGGCTTAATTCATGGGGTGAAGGTATGTCATGGTGCTCCTCGTATATCTCACTTGTTTTTTGCGGACGATAGCATCCTTTTCTCTAGAGCTAACACAAATGAATGCTCCAAGATTGCAAATATTCTCACTACTTTCGAGTCTGCGTCTGGTCAAAAACTCAATCTCAGTAAGTCGGAGGTGTCTTTCAGCAAGAATGTGATGCTGGATAAGAGGAAAGATATTTGTGAGTTACTTGGTGTTGGGGAGGTGGAAAAACATGAGAAATATTTGGGTATACCTACCATTATCGGCAAATCAAAGAAGATTATCTTTGCAAGTCTATAGAGTAGGATTTGGAAGAAGTTACAGGGTTGGAAGGAAAAACTCATGTCAAAAGCAGGAAAGGAGATTCTCCTAAAATCTGAGCACAACAGCTACACAGCCAAGGTATGTAGCAGGCCGAGCACTAGAAGCTTCTGCTCTACTTCCTCCTAGACGAAGCCGAGTGAAGGGATGGTCAAAATAAATGTTGATGCAGCCACCTTTAATGGAGATGGTATTGGGATTGGTGTGGTAGCAAGAGATTCACAGGGAGGTATATTGTTCACGGTTGCAAAGAGACAAACGGGCTGCTGGGATCCCGGTATTGCTGAAGCTGCAACGGTGTTATATGGGATTCAATTGGCCATCCAGAATGAGTATGCGAAGGTATGGATTGAGAGTGATGAAGCTAATATTGTGCAGAAGCTCAACGTCCATGTTCAGGAGCTGTCGTACTTGTATTTATTTATTAAAAGGATCCTACTGTTAGTTCCGAATTTTAGCTACTTTAAATGTAGTCATGTGAGGAGGAGTGGTAACACCGTGGCTCATCTGTTAGCCAGGTCGTGTACCCGTGATGTACCTGAACAATGTTATTTTGAGTCTTTTTCGGAAGGTGTTCTTCGTCTTGCGGAATTGGACATTATTTAATATATCCTCTTCTCCCTTTCAAAAAAAAAAAAGTACAAACTGGCATTGCGGGGCACCGCCCGGGACACACACTAGTTGTGATATTAAGACATGTATATACGTATGTTAATGTGAATTTTTCTAAAAATTATACGGGCTATCATAGTTAAGTGGACTATCATTTACTCCCTGCGTCCTTTAATTTTTTGGCCAAACCTTTATAAATTTGACTAAAATTCTCATAAATATATAAAATAATACTTCCTATATAATCATGTTAAACATTTTTTATATTTGTCTCTCAATGTATAATTACTTTTGTAGTTTTGTCAAAGGTAAATCTTGAAAACTGTGTAAAATGAAATAGACACGTGATATAAGGAGGGAGTAACGTCTAATCATATTTTAAATGTTTCTCTCTAACATTCAAATCCCATTTAATATTTATGAACAAATATAAAAATCAATATCTTCATTAATATACTCCCTCCGTTAATTTTTATTTGCAACTTTTGCTATTTTAGTCCGCTAATCATTATGTGCAACTTTATATTTTCTTTCTATTTTTAGTAAACAAAAACCCTGAAAATTACAAATTTACCCTTACTTAAAAATTCAGATTTTCTTAATTTTACCCTTATCTTATTTTTAATCACAATAACCTTTTTAATCTAATCTAAAATCATTAATCTAATTCTACCCACCCCATTTAATCATCTCCTATTCTACCTACCACCCATTCATCTCTTTCTTCAACCTCTCTTCATCTCCTTCACCCCCTTCATCTCTTTCACCTTCAGCCTCTTCATCCCTCCTCCCTCACGAGTCACGACCACCGCCCCTCCCACCACCATTCTCTCTCCTATTACAGTAAGCTAGTCTGTACTCTACTACACTCCACTCTTCTTCTTCCTTTTTAAATTGTTCTTTCTCTCTCCAAAACAACCACCACCATGAAATCACTCGAAAGCCGCCATTAACCCACTCTCTTTCCTCTCAAATTTCTCTGTAAAACTAACCCATAAAAATGGGGTGTACAGCTTCAAAGCTCGACAACGAAGACAACGAAGACACCGTTCGCCGCTGCAAAATGGGATCTACAGTTTGATTTGTTTCGTTTTTCGTTTTTGTTTCGTGTTTTTATTGTTGATTATTGTAGATTTACAATTTTTATTGTTAATTTTCTGTTTTGTAAGCTTATTGTATGTTTTTGTATTGTATTTCTATTGTTAATTTTCCTTGTTGATTATTGTAGATCTACAATTTTGTATTTTTTTTTCGATTTTTTTAGGTGATTTATTTTCGAAAATTCTAGGTTTTTTTTGGATTTTGTTTGATTTTTTAGGGTTAAGGTGGTGGTGGTTTTGTGGGGGCGGTAGTGGAGCTGCCAGATTTTTTTTGGATTTTGTTCGATTTTTTAGAACCAGGGTGGTGGTGGTTTCGTGGGGTTGGTTGCGGTGGTGGTTTCGTGGGGGTGGTAGTGGTGTTGGTGAAGGCGGCGGTGGTGTTGGCTGGTCTTGGTGGTGGCAGTGGGTGGTTGATTAATTATCCAAACATTCACTTTCCACCTTAATTACATACTCCTATAATATATTAATCACCATTATTCTTCCTCTAATATTTGCCCCTTAAGTTTTGCCTCGTGAACCGCAAAACACTCTTAAGTTGCAAATAAAAATTTACGGAGGGAGTATATGATTCCAAACAAGAATTATGCCCATACAATCTTGTAGATGAGTCAATGTAATTCTTCAAACAATATGTATGTATAAGACCAATTCAATTATTACAAACTCATATGGTTTTGGAATGATTTCCAAATTTAGTGGAAATCAATATTTCTAAGTTATACAAAAGAGAATCGAATTCATCTTGGCTTCTTAGCAAGCTGAGGCGTACAAAGCGGTCTCCAGCTCCGAATAATCGACCCCTACGACCGAGGATTCCGGCTTCTTTTAGCACTTGATAACAATCTTCATCTTCTTCTCTTTCACACTTCAACCATGCATATGCTGCCATGGTCCAACACCATTCACAATTCAATGTATTTATAAAAATGTGTTCAAGTTCCAAAATTTGTACACATGTTAACTAGAACATTTATAATACTTTAAGCTACTACTATTGCGGGATATATTTTCGTAAATCTTAGGATATATTTGATTAGTTTCTTTTGATATCTTTTCCTAGTTTTTTTAGTTTCCTAATCCTATCACATTAGGGTCAGCTTGTATTATATATGTGTTTGAACATCATCAATGAGAATTAAGCCATTACGTTTATTCAATTTAGCAACTACCGAATTGCAACAAACCTTAAAATCAGTAAATTCAGCTTTGATTTAAATCCTTACTCATTAAAATAAGGATATGTAAAATTTATCATAGAGTTGAACAGTTACATACATACATCCAACTTTATCTAAAGTTGTAGCAATTTAACTTTTATACTATTTTATAACTAATCTTGAACACATTTTTTTATTTCCCATATATAGACAAAATTATTATGTAAAATTTGTTGGATTAAACCCATTTTCTCTTCGAATATGATCAATGTTAAGAGATAACAAATGTAAGTCAATGCAAACTATTGTAATTATAAGGAAAAGGAGGCAGTATATGTAGTGAAACGATCAAAGTTTATTACCCGGGGAAGGTCCTCTGACTCGTTGATAGAAAGAGCAGAATTGTGGAGGTATATGTTGGAGGGAGAAGCGCGATGAAGTAGACAAGATTGTGGTTAGTCCTTCCCATCTTTCCTTCATTATATTGTGTCCAAACTTAAAAATATCACTTCCTCCTTCATCAACAATTGCTTTCAATAGAATCAATACCCGTAATTGGGTATCTTGTGACACACCTAACGTATTATGCATCACATAATACTCCATTTTTTGTTTTACAACCTTGTCCTTCACCAAAGCCCACCTGCATTAAAAATGAAAGTTTATTTTTGTCTAATTTTTTTAATCTTCATGTTCAATTCTAATTCGAACAAAATAAGGATTTTTTTTCATACTACATCCGTTTCAATTTATATTCGAACAATTTGGCCCTATAAGGCTATAAGTAGATGTACCAGGCAACTAAACAAGGGAAATGGGAGTAGTGTAACATGTAAGACGTACCTGTATACATAAACACGAAATTATATGACAATATGAGTGTCAGAACTCACTAACCATAGGTGAGTTGTAGCATCACTTATATGTGACATAAAAAAATAATCTAAAACAAATAGTGTAAGATAAAATGAAGCTTAATGTGAAACAGAGGGAGTAGATTGTACCCGAATCGGCTGCCAGCATGACCAGTCAACTTGGACATAGAGAAAAGCATGAGATCTTCGGCAGCCAGGGTTGGAATGGCAGTGTAATGAGGCCAATAATAGACACGATCATAAATAGTCTTAACTGAGGGTCCTTCAAGAACACTCTCTTTTAATTGACCATCAGGATTGTTTGGGGATGTCACAAATTCTATAAATTTAACAATTTCACTGTTTGTTTTGTTCTTCCATAAGGACGTGTCACCTTTATACTCATATGCTCGAGACTGATACATCTCAGTTTGTTCTTTGTATGTCTAAAGAAAAACAACATAAAAATGTAAGCGATTAAAGATAAATGTTATGTAGTAATACACCAGGATTAGTTGATTGTCAAAGGTAATTTAATTTACCTAAAATTATATGCCGGTCAAAGAATAACAAATTAAAAAAAAAAAATATGGACGGAGTACCCATTTTGACAGTTAAAAAAAGCAAGATTAGAATAATACAGTACTTGTAAGTTCAAAAGTTGTGATCTGAGACCATAATGCTCATTAAGGTCCATCATGGTCTCATCTCTATCGAATTAAGATTGTAGGATGAGGAAACCAGAGAAGGGGGTTCATAGAACCAAGCATGGGTTTAGCCAGCACAAAAGCTAATCAAGCACGACACCAAAAAAGGTTGAATCTGGCATGAGCATGCCACAAGCCTTACACGGCTCAATTGGCACACATGTGGGCCTTTAGCCATGCATGAGCCACTACATGAGCATGACAAGGCGACCCGCTTATTATTTATCAATGTACCAAAAATTTAAAAAATAATAATCAAAAACATGTTGGCTCAACACAGCCCCGTATGACTAAGTCGTACATGGGCTCCATTTATGAAAGATTTGCATGAGCCCATGATGACATAGCTTTTTCGTTGCCCATTCTAAACAAGGCTTAGCTTGTTGGCATGACACATGGGCTTACATTGCCCAACCTTTGTCTAATTTTAGGAGTTTGATTAAGGGAGCTTTAAATCAAAATAGCTCAAACAGAATTATTGTGAATACATACTGAGTAATAAGGTGTGGAAGTGACCACAAATGCAGGATTGGAGGAATTTGAGGAAAGAGCATAAACAGCAGCATTAAGTAGTTGAGTAGAGCCAGTCCCAAATACAATATGCCTTCCTTCAGTTTCTGCATTTCCAACCAATTTATGCAATTTGCGGATGTACTTCTCTAGCTCTGTTGAAAGTGTCTCAGCATATGGGTTTATATATGTATATCCCATTCTATGCCATCCTGATACCAACACTCCACCACTTTCCTTTTTATTCATCCAAAATGGCTCCATATATATTGGATTCCCACTGCAAACAATTTCAAAATCGGCATCACATTTTAGTAATCAGAATAACAAATTGTCTTATGTTTATGACGATAGACCTGACAAAACTGACTCATAAATGTGGGTTATAACTTTGTTAGAATATAACATTGCAAGGTGATGTTTATGACTTATACAGTTATACTGCCTCGTCGCTAATTATTTTCACCTTTTAATTTCATTATTGTAGTCAAATTCCATCATTGGAGATTTGTGTATGTTTTTTTTTTTCTTTTAAAATACAAATTATTTATGGGTGCTGACGATGTACCGAGTTATTGTATGAATAAATTTTATACTGTTGTGCACGAATAGTTTCATGATCAATCATTCATTATTTCATATATTTATAATTCATTTAAATGAATTACATATTTACATGTACTTGTAAAAAAAAAAAATATGGATTACGTGTATGTATGTAACATACCATAGTCCCGTCAAAAAAAAAAAAAAAAAAGACATAAACATACCATAGTCTAGTGCCTATAAGACTTTACATATTTGAATTTGAAATCGTAGATGGACCCTTGAATGTTATAGAACCCATATTTTCAATTTAGTAAATACATGAGGGTGTTTTTGGCAAAGCATATTTTTTTGGATATTAAACCACTCATAAGTTGGTTATTGAATTGAGATTTGGAGTAATATTAGATGGTTTTTCTAATGTAAATTTAAATTAAAATATATATTATGATTGTATAATACTCATATTTGAATAAGGAAGAGATCTAAGACCAAAAAACTCTTACCCATCAGCATTTGCAACGCATGGAAGAGAAAGAATGGAGCAATCAGGGGAAGTGTAGCAACTAGCAACCATAGCACTCGCACACTGGTTTCCCATCAACAACCAACCCATCCAAGAACGCCCTTCCATGTCCCGAACACGATATAACCGCCACTTCCTCCGCCTCGACTGCTGCCTCTCTTGACCAACTTAGCCGAGTAATTTCATCACCCCACTTTATATTCAAGTATAAACCACAGAACACAATATTCAGGATTATTGAGAAAAGCAATATACATAAGTGCTTAACCATGATCACCTTTTAGCTTGAGAAAAGTTCCCTTTGATGAGTCTACTATGGAAAGTCATACCCTTATATGTATTTAAAAATTAAATTAACTCTTCCAATTAATTATCTTGACTAAAACATAAGCAAATGCACGTTGGGGTTCTTCTATATATTATTATAGATTTAAATTTTATGAATTCAAAATCTGAAAATTGTCATTAAAAATCAATTGTCAATGTTAACACTCCAATATCATACCTTTTGGATCCCAATCAAATTGTCATTAAATTATTTTTAAACCCAAAAAAAGCTTGAGTACGTCACGCACGTGACAACATCTACGCTTAGCATTCATTTCACAATAATTTATGTAATGTTCACGTTGTGTGTTACTCTTAGTTCAATATGACAGCACATCTTTGCAGTCATGAATCCATTGATACTTTCTTGACTGCTTGGATATAATATCGATTCTTTAACCAAAGAAGGTACGTTTCCATCCCTTCAATCTCAAAAAGAGACGATCAGATTCTTGCTCAACAAAAACCTATCATGTTGCCTAACTCTAAGACTGGATCATTTTTGGAAATTAGAGGCGTTATAAGGAAGAAACCGCATTATAGCAAAGTGGAGCATGGACATCGATGTACAAAAGATTAGCGCCTCCATCTCTAACAAAAAAAAAACACACACACAACACACATCGGCATCTCACACTTATTATTAAAGCCAAGAGCAAGCTAGGAAGGAAATTATCCAATATTGAGTTCTTAAACAAATGGCGTCTTCAACTAAAGAAACCAAGAAGACTGGATCGGTATCTGTACAAGGATGTATCTTTTTTGAGTTCTAACCCAAATTTGAATGCAGGTAACAAAAAAAAGAAAATGTGATTCTCCCCTGCAGCGAATTGGAAAAGTCACTGAATGAAGAAATTTTAATACCATAACCACCGCAAATGGAGACTGCTGTCATAGTCCTAAGTCATAAATGAACGACAATCAACGCCACCACGAGGCCAGTTAAAAACAAAAAATTAACTGACTTTTTTGCTCCCCAGAAAACAGGTCATGACAATATAATACAGTAAGAAAATGACAATTTTTTTAAGCATGTAATGACGTTATTTTATAAAATGCTATGAAGTACGAATTGAACAAGCTTTGATCTCAAGTCATGCATGATACAATTGCTAAGACTATACCAGCTAGATGAAATTCACTAGACCATAAGAAATTGTAAATTGCCAATGTGATGTTCACAAATAGAAACAAAATTTCCAAAATTCCATAAAATAAAAGAAAAACAAAGCAGAGAAAGTAGAGATGCTCATTTGCAGTTTAAGCTGATCAATTGTTGGGTTGGCCTTGGGATAACACTTGTTTTGTCTTCTCCAAGACACCAAAAAATATCGAGCCTCCAATTCCAATCCATAAAACTCTTGGTCCAATGCCCTGCAGTACACAACAAATACACAGCTTAGAAATTCTTTTTGCCTGTTCTTTCCAATCTTCACAACCAATTTGATAATAGTACAACCTAAATCACAATCCCCCTCTAAAAAAAGAAGAAAAAAAAAAAAGTCAAATACTTGTACAAGATGAGGACAAACCTTCATAAAGACATGGCCTCCTTCTTCTCTTGGTATGGTCCTCACGCAGTCATATACGCCCTTGTACTGCTTTGACGACCCCTGCAAAATTAAGTCCAATGTTTCACACAAGAGGACAGGCAACAAAATTAGCACGTCAAACTTCAAACGAAAGAAGACTTGAGGCAGTAAAAATGGATCACTGTATACCTGAATCATCAGTCGTGTCTTGATCACATCAAGAGGTGTTGTTATAGCTCCTGTTATAGCTCCTGTTCAAGCAATGAAATGATGGATATAAGTCCAGCAAGTACTAAATAGACCAATCCGTTTTGTCTAAATTTCTTTTCTCAAAATTTATTCTCAATATCTTGCATGTGTTATGTTTTTGAATATCCTGAAAGCGATTAATCAGCCTAATCCATAGAGCTCAGCCCATATTGCAGTTTGGTTATATTTGAAAACATACTACACGGTCAAGTGGTCAACACAAAACAAACTCTCCCAACAACTTAATCTTGATTATATCATTACTCTTTCTCCAGAATAGGATCGTTGGAGGTTTTAGGCATGAACACCATGGCTAAGGTTCAAGCCCTAAAAGTTCACTGGGGAGTAATAGTGGAAAGTTTGTATCCGGGCCTGTGTTTGGGCCCTTATAAAGGGCCAACTCAAGATCGTAAAGCAACCCTAAAAATACACTGCACCCTAATTGACACCAAAGACAGGTCATATATTTACTGCAGCAGGTCAAGATTTTATTTATGTATCGCTATCTCAATTCTTTATCCAGTCTGATACGAAGTATTTTGTATCATAAGCTCATAACATTACACAGCAATATTCATGTTTCATCTTAACAGCTTCTCATTCATACTAGACGAGCCATCAACTCAATTCACAAGAATCTGTATTTTAGATAGGCCAGTATTTTACAAAGGGTATATAATCATAAATTCCTACTGCCCCCAACAACTTATCTCCCCCAACAAAAGTAATTGAAGAAAAATGATTATGGTTGGAATAGGTATAAAATTGGAATTGCTTACAAATATCAGTCATGATCAAAGCACAGCAGACTGCAGCAAGCAGCTGTTTGACATTTTTTGTTTATCAAGTAGTTTTAAGCATTTTTTTTACGGGGAAAATAAGAAGAGTTCTTTATTACCTGCAAAAGCACCAATCAAAGCATTTTCAGGGTCATTTAGTTCCCTCTTAGCCTGCCAAAAAAAAAGTTGTATTTGGTCAATGGACATGTTAACCAAATATGTTACTAACCATCAAACTTTCTACTTCAAAAATGTTAGAAGGAAATGAGCAGGTTTTCACCAACATATGCTGAAACTGGTAAACCTAAAACAGACAAAGCTGAGAATCTATTTGAAGATTCTCAAAGAGGTTGTACGTGTCTGTATGCACTATGAGCCTATGACAGCAAATCATGAAAATTATTCTCAAGTTTTTTAAGATCTCACAAGTGAAACATCAAAAAGATGAAACGACAACCAGTTACAGCTTACAGAACATGAATATTTTAAGAATCATGGAACATCAAAAAGATGACTCCCTCTTCAAACTTTGATTTGGCACAGAATCAAAAGTAAAAATAGTACTTTGTAGAGAGAATAATTGTGTAGGATATAAAAAGAAAAATTATTGATGTGATGGAATTAGAAGAGTGATAAACAATATGTATTGTTTTGAATTCAATTACGAGGAGTTTATTTGGTGACATAAAAAATACTACGTAGAAAGTAAAAAAATTATATTGAAATGGAGAATATGTATAATAGATGGGGCACTGAATAATCCTATAGTTAAGCAAATATCACAAGATACCCTTACATAGTTGCATATCTCTTTAATATTTCTCAGGAACTTTTAAACAAAGAAATTGAGCGTATCAAAAAAATTGGAATGCAGATGAATTTTTGCAAACATACAACAGCCTCTGTTAAATTTCCAAAATGTTTATACCATGCCACTACATTCATAGAAACCTACTGTTATTAGATGCTCTCTATACCAACTTTTAGCCATTCCAAAATGGACTAAGTTTTTTTTTTTTTTTAGGATGAGCTATGAAAGATGAGAGAATCTCACAGAATTACAAATACCTACGTTGGTCTGAAATATATCAAGAACTTTGTCAAACATTTTACACAGAAATTCGCAAGGGTATTCTACAAAAAGAATAGCCGGTAGCAACATTAATTGCTACTTATGTAGCTTTTGGAACTCTGACGGTAAAAATTACAAAAACAGCCTTTTCAGATTATAAAGTATAAAGGTAATAAATTTATCTTTTACCCTCATAAGCCTACAATTTTCAATAAATAAGCCATATATAATTTAGCTCACAAAACAGACAAGATGAAATATCTTAATGAATATAAAGCTCTTATCAAGAGAATATATATCAGCTCACTGCTAGTTTATAACCAATCCTTATTTGCTCATAGATACAAAATTGGATGGCATCGAAAGGCAAATCGCGCAGTAGAAAAGATCCATAACCCTGCAACAGAATCCAAAATTTTAAGATTGAAAAGCATCAGTCAATAGACAGCATTCCTCACAAAGCTACAATTAGAGAAATCATGGAGCACATAGCCTACTAACCAACTTGACAAACAAAAGATTTTGCTATCTTTACTGCATGACAGAAGATCTCACTTACCGCATAAAGTCCTCTGAAGCCCTCTTTAGAAACAATCATACGCACTGCATTAGGGGCTGTTGCAAATTGGCCCATCTGCATCCTTTGTTTCACAACCTATAATATTGTTCAGGATGACAGTATATTTTATAACACTTGTAAACCGAAAATGACAAATGGTATAAATCTTAATACCTCCGTTGGGACTCTGACAATAGAAGAGGCAGCTCCTGCAATTGCACCTGCAGACTAAATGAAGTTTAAAACTGGCTGCATGTAAAATCTCTACAGCTCAGCAATGAACTAAGTTGTTACACAAAAGCTATTGTCATGGATTAATATATGAACAGTAAATTGGCAATAAGAGAAATGCCTTGGACACATTCAACCCCAACACCCTTCCTTCCAAAAAGAAAGAAGAGGGACAAAAAATTAGGCTACAGGAAGGCTTCCACCTCAGTGTTCAATGAAAATCATAATAGAAAGACCTATGCAATGGTTAGATGCTAAATTATTAAAAAAAAATAAAATTGAAAGATGGTTAAATACTTACAATGTCAGACCATCAACTTAAAACTTCCTCTACACAGCGCATAATAATGAAGGGAAAAAATCCAAATCCTTTTCCTCAAACTCCGGACTCTAAAAGTATGTGATACATTAGGCTTAACAATAAGGGCAAAGTAAGTAGGATCAGATTGCCATATGACGAGGTCATTCCCGCAAGACACCCATTGGAAAACTATAGCTTGCTATTCATTTCTTTTTAGATGCATCACTTTCTAAATAAGGAAGTTTCAAAATTAGATGAATCACTTTCCTTTTAAGTTGATAAATTCTCTCTATCTCTCTCATATTACATGGGTCCTCTTTTTTTCTCTCTCTATCTCTCTCATCTCCAAAAACTACCTAGGAGTCCGTGTTTTTGCAAATGATGCAACTAAAAAAAGCGAAGGAAGTAAATAAGTACAGGATAGATTAGATAGAGATTTGATAACATCTGCCAGAATCCAAAGTTAGTATTGGTGAGTAGTCACTCTTGCCTTCTCCCCTCCCCCCTCCCCCCACCCCCCGCCCAATATATATATATATATATATATAGGGATTTGCTAGAATGAGAAATGAGAATATGAGAAAACCAGTTAAAAACTGCCACGTGTCCCATATAAAGTACAAAGTACATAAGAAAGGAATATTTGCTTTTTAAAAAATTAGGAAGTGGGACATGTGTCAACTTATAAGTGGTTTTCTCATTTTCTCATTCTCATTCTAGCAATTCCCTATATATATATGGATCCGATGAGAATATGTTCATATGTGAGAAATCATACTTATATGAAAACTGATTTAAAATTTAGAACACGTGAGTAAAAATTTAGAACATATGAGTAAAAATTTAGAACATATGATTAAAAATTCAGAACACGTGATTTTGAAGTTTTAAACACATGAGTAAAATTTAGAACATCTACGTGAGTAATAATTTAGAACATCTTATTTCTAATTTAGAACGTGTGAGTAAAATTATAAAAACATGATTTAAAATTCAAATCATATGAATAAAAATTAGAACATCTGACTTAAGATTTAGAACATGTGAGTAAAAATTTAAAACACCTGATTTTAAAGTTATAACATATGAGTAAATTTAGAACATGTGAATAAAAGTTTGGAACATACAAGTAATAATTTAGAACATATGATTTCAAATCTTGAACATATGATTAAAAATCTTAGAACACAACTTACAATTTAGAACATATAAGTTAAAATTTGGAACAAATAATTTAAGATTTAAAACTTGTGAGTAATAATTTGGAACATTTGATTTAACTCATTTAAGATTTAGAACACGTGAGTAAAAATTTAGAGCACAAGAGTAAAAGTTTAGAACATGAGAGTGTTCTCACATATGAAAGATTTCTCACATATATGAGGTAATCTCACGAGAGTCTTCCCCTACATATATATATATATATAAAGTGCAAAGTGCTTCAGCACACTTTTAAGTACTTAATGATTTATTTATTTTTTAACAGTAAAAGTACATGAAGAGGACACAATGTCCCTGGAAATAAAGATAAACAAAACTACACATTAGCACATTTCCTTTGCATGACTTCAAAAGTGTAATTTGGGAATGATCTATATGATTATATCACCACAATTAGTCTGTCTACCACGAAAGTTTCATATTGCATCTTCAAGAAAATTCAGTTGGGTTACCCATTTTGCTTATTTATGCAACTTACAAGATGAGCCAGAGAACTGAAGTTCTCAGGAATAGCCTTTAACAATTTCTGCTTTACTGGCTCGTACACACCCAAAAATATCGCAGAAGCCCTGAAAGAAAATAATGAATTTCATCTTCATATAACTTTGCAATGTCACTAATACAAGCAAAAGGAAAGATATAACAACTGACATACTATACAGTTAACAACTATACATGGGCAATCAAGATATAACGACTGTAATATTATTACAGTGGCAATGGTAAGACTATTGCCTAAAGCAGGGTAAGGGAGGATTTATAAACAGAGTATTACTCTGACAATGGCAAAGAGGCTCTCTCAGCCTTACTCCTTGATCAAAAAGGCAATTACCGGTTGTTCTTTCAGCCTAAACCATTGCAAAACAATGGAATAAGCAATGGATGAAATGTTGTGAGACCCTGAAAGTAGTCATCGATCTGTCCTAAATCCTGAAGTTTCTTACAGAAAAGGTATCATAATTGTGTACATAGCTATGTATGGCCAGGCACAGACCATCAAGGGGTGCACACTCACACTAGTCACACATACATAACCAAGAGAGACAGAATCGGATGCGCCTTGTGCGCTTTTGGTGCGCCTAATCAAAAACGCCTCGGCCAAATTAAGCGCTTACCCCCTATTGCCTTGCGCCTTAGGTGCACTTTTTCAAACACTGGTTCCTCCACCAGTGTACCAAGTTTTCCTCACTCACATCTACATCTACAAACAGAGGTGGCTTTACTACCTTGGGTGTAAACAAAGCCACCCTCATAAGTACAGGATAGATTAGATAGAGATTTGATAACATCTGCCAGAAATTCACTAATGTCTGAAACAAGAGGAAAGAAATTCAGTAATGTCTGAAAAATAAGAGGAAAGAAATCTCAGCCATACAATTTGATGAACGGCTCAGATTAAAAGTTTTCAGTTTTTATTTTAACACTTGTTTTTACATGATCCTATTGATAACCAAGGCTTCATTAAGGGTATAATGGTAATCTCCCGTTTTGAATGACTACCGACTTCATTCTAAACGCCTTTCATTTTCACTTTCTCTCTCCTCCTGCGTATTCTCTCTTCCTGCGAATTTTTGCTTTCTTGTCATCTTTGCATCGATCTACTTTTCATCTTTGTCTTTCGTTGCAGCTTGAACCTGGACAAGTAAGCTAAGTGATTGTGTTTTTCTTTGTTGTTATTTATTCAATTGGATTTTAAAGGAATTTGAGTATGAAATTAGGGTTTTCGTGATTTTTAATTTGAGCAACTTACAATTTCATTTTTAATTTTAGGATTTCTTCGAATTAGAGTTTCGTTGAATTATTTTTTGTTTCAATCGGATGTTTTTCCATGAGTTTTGTTTCGAATTATGTTTTTGATGAATTTCTATGGATGTATTGTCAGCTTCTAATATCATCGAATTTTTATCTTTTTTTTTCCTCATATTTTCATCCGAAATTTGGATTTTGATTATTGTTGTTTTCTTTGATTTAATTTTATTATTTAAAATCAAGATTATGCGATTTCGATGCGAAAATTAGGGTTTTCACAATTGTTCTGTAGAATTAGTAATTGTAAGTTCTATATCATAATTTGGTATCAATAATTTATTTATTTGAAAATTAGGGTCTCTTAGTCTTTTTTGGTAGATATTAAGATTAAATGATGAACTTTTTTTTGAAGTGGTGGAGAAAGACTTTCATCTCATGGCTATCCATATTTGACTTACGTGCCTTGTGACCTTGACTTAGAGTATATGACTTTTCTTTTCCCAAAAGGTTTTTAATATTCTCGACAGGCAAGTATTTGCGTGAGACGGTCGTAATATAACTTATTGTGGAATGAAAATGACTTGTTGTGCTTTTAAAGAACTTATTATCATACACTCAAGTGTATACTTCGTATAAACATGTACAATTTAATACAATTTTATGTAAAACAATTAAACATGTAATTGAGTTATATCATAATTTAATCTCATGTGACCATTTATTGCATTAGAAGGATATACATACATTGGACAAAGTATAATATAGAGCCATTTCGTAGCCTACATGTGAAGTGGAAAACGAAAACAAAGTAGGTGAACATGAGATTTAAGTACAAAGAGCCATTCCAATCAATGATTTAATTGTTAGGGTTAGGTTACCATATGCATGATTGAGAGAATAACAACGTTTAACAAACTTTGTCATTGTTATTTTCTTGGTTTTTTTTTTTATTCAACTTATTTTATTTTCAAGGTTTTCAATATAATTCGTGTATATATATATTTGACCATTAATATCAATATATTAAAGTATGAGGTAATGCTATATGTAGCCCTAAGGGCTATATATAAGCATTAAATACACTCTTGAAAATTGTATAAAATTAGAAATTCATGACAAAAACACGCGTAAATCAGTATAGTTAGTGTTTATCTTTTTATGATTTCCTAACTTTATACGATCTTCTAGTGTGTATTTAATGCTTATATGTAGCCCTAAGACTCTCAGAGCTATGTATAGCATTTTCCTTTATCATAATCCAAAAACAAAAAGGAAAAAAATATTATGTACTCCCTTCGTTTTTTTAGTGCAACTTTTTTAATTTTTGCATTATCAATTTAGTTCACTATAGCTAATGTTGGTGATTTATACGAGGAAAAAAAAAGTTTTGTGGTGTTGGAATCGTCTCAAAATGTTAGTGTTTTATATATATATATATATATATATATATATATATATATATATATATACGGGGAGGTTCCGCTGAAAACAGAGCTTATGGTGAAAACTAAAAACAAGCAATCTTAGCCATTGAATGTTCACTAGATCATCTGATGGTGTGAAACAACCTAGAGGTCACTATATACAAAAATAAGGTCATTATATCAAGTTATATTAATTTTGATGACACTTACACCGAGGTCACTATATATAGAAATAAGGTAACTATATCAATTTTTACAATATTTACTTTGAGATCACTATATACAAAAATAGGGTAATTATATCAATTTTGACTACATTTACATAAAGGTCACTATATGCAAAAATAAGGTAACTACATCAATTTACAGAGGCCACTATATATAAAAATAACGAAGGTCACTATATATAAAAATTAGGTAATTATATCAATTTTGACAACATTGACCACATTGATATAGAAGTCACTATTTACAAAAATAAGGTAACTATCATCAGATAACTTCTCTTTCTCCTCCTTGTCATCAGATAACTTCTCCTGCTCCTCCTTGTCATCCTACTGCTCCTTATCATAAGATAACTTCCTGCTCATTAAAATTTACACTAAGAAAATAATTAGCTATTATTAATTTTGACTAAATCACACTATGAACTACCAAAAATCAATTAACAACTAGAGCAATCAATGTGAGTAATCAATTAACTAAAATTGATCCAATGCGACAAACTTTAGATTAAACTTTAGATCCATCTGCTGCCTATATATAGCTGCATGGTACTGAATGATGAGCTTCTCTTCTTGTTCTGTGAATTCTTCATGCTTAAGGTCAGGCCTCAGGTAGTTAGTACACCTAAGCCTGTAACTCTTACCACGTCTATTAAGTCCTATAAAAACAACTAATTCATTAATATGCATAAACCCTTGATAATTAGTAAAAGAGAACAACAAAAACCTAAGCAAAACAAAGCATATTATTTAGATCTTAAAACACAGCATGAGCTGATAATGACATATAACGACATTAGCCATTTACTGCATAACACAGGGTGTTGTTACTCACAGTAAGATTTTTACTCGCCTCTATCATGTACCCCTCTCACAGCTCCTAAGGGGAACTGTTGGAGTCACAATAAATTAATGTTGATTAAATCACTTTTCATAATATGGTGATCCCATAAACATGGTGATTCTATAAACAAACTGAACAAGAGAATTTTGGATCCAATCTTAAATCAATCTACTGTAATACCAAACTATGTACAGTAAATCAACTCACTTCAATTAATTGTCACAACATCACCAAAGGGTTAAAAAAACAACACTCCAATTAAGCGCGAGTTTGTAATTATCAACCAAATTTACAAAATCAACATTAACAAATCATACATTTTCTGACCTAAATCAAACATTTAGAATTTCTAAAAAAATAGTCATCACTGAAACTCAAATCTCTCATATACAGAGACAAATCAACATTAAAACAATCAAAACTCTAGATTAAAAAATCAAAGATCTAAAAATCGAAAAACAAATCAATGATTCAGACAAAAAAAATCATTAATTTCAATTGAACAAAAGTAAAATCCAAAAACAAAACAATTGGACAATAATTCATCACTTAATTAAACAAACAGAACCTCATATATGAAGAAATTATAGTAATTAAACAAATTATAGAACAAATTGTTGTAATTACAGTGTCAGAGGAGAGAGAAAGCGAAAGAGAGAGAATACCAAAGAGAAGATGAGCTGCGAGAGTGGCCATGGTGAAGGAGGCGAGAAGGACGAGGAGCGAGAAAGCGAAGAAACGGAGGACGAAGACGTCGACGATGGAGGTAACAGCGGGAAGAAATCGGTGAGAAAGGCGGCTGATGCTGGTGTTGCTGTGGTAGAGGTGGTGGTGGCGCCGCCGTTGATTCGCCATGGGCGCCAGAAAAAAGCTTCAACAACACTGAAAAAATCATGAAAGCTATAGATCTTCTTCTACTTAGATCTCTGTCTCATCTTTCGGCGCTTCCTCTTCAATCTCCTCATACGCTTCTTCTTCCACTGCAAAAATCAATCAAATCAACAAGTTGAACTTCAAATTAGTTAACAATGGTGGAAAAACTCGACTGAACCGAACAAATCAATGAAATTAAGGAAAAAACTAAAATTAATCGATTAGTAAAACAGGAAATCGAACTAAATTGAACAAAATCGAACAGAAAATCGCAAAATCAAACAAAATCGAACAAAATTGATGAAAATTTCAGAAACCTTAAAACCTCAAATCATGCAAAATATAGCGAAATTAACACAAAGAACTCACCTGATAATAGATCGTAGAGCTGAAAAATTGCTGAAAATCAAAGTAATTGAAGCTGAATTTGAAAAAAGTAGCGTGAAAATTGGGGAAAAAAATGTCGAGAAATTAGGAGAGAGAAAGTAAGAGAGTGGAGGAAGAAGAAAATAACGGAGGAGAGAGAAATTGTTTTCGTGGGAGGAGAGAGAAAATTAGTATATAAACGTTAGACGTCATCCGCTAGATTATAATCTACGGCTAGGATGAATCGTTTTCAGTTTTCACCCTAACATTTGTTTTCACATGATCCATACTCTATATATATATATATATATATGTATGTATGTATATATATATACAAGTATAATTTTTTACTTATTGATAATTACAGATTTTGTTGGTCAAAGTTTTAATTTAACATGTATGTATGCCCAACAAGGATGGGGCACTTGAAAAAAAAAAAAAAAAAAAAAAGGGACTATCGATCAACAGAACCAAAATGCATAGTTTCGTATACATTTTAATTTGCCAAGAGCCAATTTAAAGAGTAAGGGACAATTAAATTAGAAGGTCAATGATCAAATTATTCTAGTTAGGGTCAAGGAAAGAACCTGTTCTGTAGCTATGTAGCATAATATGACTAAGCTTTCCCTATACCTGTTTCCATAATTAAGTGAAACATATAAAAAAAGTATCTTGATATTCTAAGTTAGAAAGTGTGTAAGTCATAATCATTAGGTGTAATTTGATATGTTTACTATTTTTTGAAGAGATTGTATACTTCTGGATATTTATAATTGTAAGATGTGACAATGACATCATACTAGAATTTTAAATTTCAAAGGTATTTTGTACTGTATTTTCTAATGCAAAGGTACTACTTATCTTTCTTATGCGGTCTTGAACTCTTGTACAATTGCGTTTACAATCAGTATATATTGAAAAACACATGTTTGAAGATAAGATTGCATTATTATGAACACTGGGATAATGTTATTAAGGTTTCAAATTACATTTAAATTCATTTTTACTACTGTCATTTATAACTGGCTACCAAATAGACCATAAAAGATATAGATTGGACAAGGCATTGTATATGTAGAGTATAAAAAGAAGTATATCGTGCAATTTTGGTAGCCTAATTGTGAATGGAAAAGAAGGTATAGATGAACATGAGATGAGTTGTAACAATATTAATAATGTATTAATGGATTCCATAAAGCCATTTTGAACCATGATATTAAGTAGAACAAAGTGAACGAGGTAGTAATTTTTTATGAAAATATGAAATACTACTTCTATGTGAACCTTTCTATATACCTCTTTTCATGATGTAGTGTGAAATAAACCAACAAGGGTAACACAATTTTGAGAATTGGACCAGTGTTGAGGTTTTTGTGTAGTGTTAGAAAAATTTTGGTTAGAAATCTACTAATTGTTCTTCTACTGCTACTTAACTGTAAATATATTTCAATGTATCAGTAAAAGCCCAATAGTGTTGTATATCTTGAGTTTTTTTCATTAATTTGAGTAGCTATATTTTATAGCAGGCTAAAAATGAATTACATATGATTGTTAAACTAGTAGATTTCATAAGTATACAGCAATGCGAGAACACAGATCCTTCGGCGAACCAGATAAGTACTGTTTCCTCATAATCAGGGTCATTAGAAGATACATTCTAAGACTCTTGAGACAAGGTACAAACAAGTACTTGGTCGTTTACAATTTACAGCAGCAGCATCACAATGCTTAAGTGATCTGATGCATTTTGAAGATCATTACATTTCGATTTTACACCGCGCTTAATTTACAAAACTTTGGGCATCAAGAATAAGCTAATCCCTGTATCATGTTCTGCAAGTTTCAGAAACCATTTTCGCAGTCATCACGAGGTACTGCAAAGGGACCGAGGAGTTGAGGCTTCCTTAGCCAGTACTGTTGGAACCTCTGTCGCGCATACTCCTTGTAATCAAAGTCGATATTGTTCACATAGGCCTGTCGTGACAAATCAAATACTCATTAGTAAAACTTATTTTTACTAAATATTATGTCCTAAAATTCTACTGTCAAATCCAAAAACACGAAACAAAGATGAGAGATAGCGCGAATGTAAACAAAAATTGCTTACCGAGATGATTCCCCACAAGCCCCAAAATATATGATTTGCTAGTGAGTATTTTTCAGCATTTTGGAGCAAGCTATCCACTTCACTATCACAAATATCATCACCTGTATGTGGACCATATGAAAAACACATTATCAAGCTGTTGTTCGAAAACACAAATTGAATCAATTGATTGCGAAAGTTGTACAACATTAGAATATATGCAAATTTCCAAAACATCGATTTGATGGATCAGCAGAAACAAACATAAAATATCAACATGAAGAATCTAAGTTAATACAAGTCGATTAGATTCCGAGTCAGCTCCAGATAACACTTATTTTGTTCTCACTTAACAACTGGCCAATTTTTCGACATTTCATTAAGCTTAGAGTTGGAAGAAATAATTTCTGAAAAAGATCTCTCAACTGCTTGAAAAGGGTAAAAATTACTGAAATTTTACTGATTAACACTAACCTGATGAGTTCAAATATGCAACAACAAATCTTCGACGTTCTTCCTCATCTGTCATAAAATGCAACAGAAAATGTTAGTTTAAACTGTCACAATAGTACTCCTTAGTCCATTCATCCTAATTTAACAGCCACGTAATTACGTAAATAGTATAATTTGAACTAAACATTCTAGAAAGTGGTAAACATTATTTATATGACTAACAATTACCTGGATATTTAGTGTAGTCCAAAATATGAGGTTGATCAGTATGATAATTGGCAGCCATTTCAGAGAAGTGATTAGCAAGATCATACGCAATAGGATTATAACTCGCGTACTCATAGTCCTGCAGAAGGTTATTAATTCAGTCAGATAACATATTACGAACATAAGCTAATGAAAATCAGATGTTTTAACCAAAGTCATGGGAATTTACAATTAAAGTGACTAATTTAGTCTCTTCGTCCATCATTATGTTGCCATATTGAAGGTCATTGTGACAAAATCCAATCTCTTGATCATCTTGTGTAAGCTCCTTTTCTAGGAGCTGAATTTCGTCGTCTAATGTATCTAATCCGTACTCCTTGATGTCTGCAAGTGAGCATAAACTCTTTGCCTTCCTCAGCCAACGCCTATGTAACGCCACGAAAAAATGAACAATATTAGGTTAACTGTTAAAACAATCAGTTCAATTTTCGGGGCTAATTAGCTAACTGTTAGCCACCTAATACTCGATAAATCATTTTTTAACTCGAGTTCAGTACCTCAGTCTGTTCCATAGGATGACAGTTTTAGTGCCAGGCATATCAAGGCCATGAAATTCTCTCATCTTGGCAGCAATCAGAGATGATATTTCAGGGTCACGTAGATCCTCTGCTGTTAAAGTCTGTAAATCACCCAATAAAGAAAAATAAATGATAAGATTAAGGAATAATTCCGTATTTATTAAGAATTAATGTGATTGCTTTTTACAATTGAATTGTAAATAGTAGGTAATCTCCATCAATCAATTTCTAATAAAAACATGATTGCTGCATTCACCTACTCAAAATATATGAATTCAACTAGCCGATTTTGCAACAATGGAAAAAAATAATCGTATTTTAAAAATGTTCGGCTACATGAAACAATAATTTATCTTCAATGTTCGTCCACATATATACTTAATATGATAAAACAAAAAGGTGTTATCCAAATATAATTATTTCTTTGCTAAAATATTAAGAAATGAACGTGTTCTTGTTTACCATGGCGTATACAATGCGTAACAAAATTCTAATTTCTAAACAAGCATTCACTTCATTCAAAATTGACATAATGACATTCATGCTAAAATAAAATAATTTTGATATTGATTGTAAACGATTTGATTTAATTTATAATATTTATAGCATGGGAATTAAATGAAAAATATAAAACAAAGTATGTGTTCATACAACCATACATACCCTGGCATGGAGGAACTCTTCAACGCGGCCATCGGAGAACCGGCCAAGAAGCCGAGGGCCTTGACCGTGGTGTGACAAGCTTTCGAACGTACGAATTTCATCGTCTCGATTGAAGAAGACTTCGACACCTTCACCATAAATTCTGACCAAAACTTTTCTATTCAGATCATTTTTATCATTAGGCCAAAGAATTTGAAACACTTCATTAGTCATGGCACCACTTAAACGTTTTACTTGTATGTAATTAGGGTCATTGACATCTTCCCATGTTGATGCCAATGTCACCAAAATTTGCATCAATTCCTCGGGTAGCGAACCGTCTACGAATCCGTTGGTCTTGATCGCCATCCTTGTACTAGAAATCGAATTTCGGATAATGAAAATAGGGTGTGTTTAGGCTTGTTTTAGAGGTTCTTGTACCTTAAGACAAGGGAAACAGAGCATTAGGACTTGGTGTTGTATAGAAATGAAGTAAAATAAAAGGTAAGAATATTATATTAATATTATAAGGCTACAACTAATATTTGACTAAGAAAAATAATGCAAACTTTAGTGGGTATAAAACAAAGACTTATTTTCAGTCTAATTGTACAAGTAATTCGACCGAATCTAAAGCTGACAATCTCTAACATGAAAAAACGATATTATTATCATCAACTTTTTGCAATATGCTGTGAGATTTTACTAAAACTGAAAGTACATAGAATAGTGACCAATTAACTTAAAATGCAAGCCTTTAAGAGAATCATTATAATAAAGTAAGAAATCAGAACAAAAAATTTGATTCTTTTTCTAATCAAAATCGTCAAATACAAGCAATTTTGCATCAATCAAAGTGGAAGATGAATTAGTTGACTGACAAAAAAAAAAAAAAAGAAGGTAAGAATCAAAATCTTTCTTTCAATTATAACCGTTGCTTTAATGTTCTATACTTCTATCCATCCATCTCTTTCTCAAGTTGGCAAAAATTAAAAAGTTTTCCAAAAATCATAAGAACCCCAGAAAGTGAGAAATCTTTTGGTTGGAGAACAAACATTCAGATCTTCTCTTTCTTCTATCTTAATAAATTCTCGGGATTGAATCCCGTCTACATCATCACCCTTTATACGCCAAACACGTGTGAATTCACATGAAAACATTACGAACAAAATTAAGGATTCTTGACAATTTTAGCCGGTTTATATTAAACCCATTAATCAAAGCAGAAAAACCCAGAAATTTTTAAAAATTTGCACTTACCAATAAGAAGAAAAATGAGAGGAGAGAGAAAATGAGGGTTAGTTAGTTGCGATGACAGAGGAAACAATTGCGGGAAGTTGGACTATTTATTCTTGAAAATCAACCAATTTAGATTTTTTTTTTTTCATTTTTTAATTAATGAAGATTTGTGGCACGCGTGTTTAAAACGCGTGAAAGGTGGGAGCGAATGGAAATTGGACACGTGGATGGATTTGATAGGAACTAACATCTGACTAGGAGAGAGAAAATGAGCTGAAAAGGTCTTGCTCGGCTTAACGTGAGAGAAAAAATAATAAAATTAATTAAAAGGGTGGAAATGAATAGTGCAAGTGGGTGATTGACACGTGTAGGTTGTCTCCCAGTTGGCGGTTATGACGGTAGAGACTAGAGAGTAGTGAGGGTGTCGGTTAACGAAATTACCAAAATGGTTCTGCCCACCTTTTCTAGTTTTTCCTTATCCATTAAGCTTTTAATATTTAATTATTTTTTTTCAATTTTTTTTTTAATTATTTACAAAAAATATTGTATATAAGGTAATGTCTAAACTACATTTAATTTGTTTCTAAGTTAAGTTATTTGCACCCGTCAGAAAAAAAAAAAAAAGTTATTTGAATTTATTAATTCTTATTTTATCTTATTTGAATTTATGAAAAACAGAGTAAAGTATTAAATTTTAAATCTTATGATATCTTTTCTTATCTTATATTTATAATGGCTGATTTTATTAGTCAGGTGCATTATCAACATATTTAAAGGTCTGTTTTGTTTACCTTATTTTAGGAAAGAAATTAACAACTTAATAATTTTTTTTGACACAACAACTTAATAATTAAATTATAAAAAAATGGTATTTAAATATCATTTTAATTTTATAATGTGGAAATAATATAAGTCGAACATCATTGGTGTGGCATGTATAATTGCAAAGATAATTGTGTCAAAATAGGACAAGTCTGGTATCCGAGTGTCCAAAAACATATATAAATTGAACACTATTTTTAGTTGTTTAACACGTTTAGGTGTGTTTTACCTGTATCGTTATCGGACATTATGTTTAGAAAGAGTGTAAGATATGACAATTGAATGGTGTGTACGTTCTTTATTGATAATAGAATTACGTACTCCATAAAAGTTTGAGTACTGTATTTCTCTTAGGCTCTTTTTAGATAATTTATTTTAATAGAATGTACTTTGACTTGATGTTTGTCATGCTCACAGCTTTGCTATTACGAGTAAGTGTGAAAAGTGGTATGAATTTAATGAGCAACCCAAATTTGACTGGTGAGTCTACAGCTAAGAGTATCTCAAGTCTAACCTCATGCTTTAATGTTGGATATCTTTTTGACCTTATCATGTAACAAGTAGTGATGGTCAATAAAGGAAATCAAGATAAGACGAGAAGAAGAGGATAGAGAGAGTAGAGTGTGAGTTTAAGGTAGCCCAATTAATTTTTCTTTATCCATTAATTTCTTCTTCAATAACTTATCTTTGAACGACTGCTATATAATATATCAAAAATACTATATACCATTATACACTTCGATTTTTATGTTTAGAATTTCATACCCTTGTTATTTTTCTCTCAATGTCCCTAACGTACCAACTTTATAGTATTAAAATCAAAAAAATCTATAACTAAAAAGTACACCTAATACATGATGTTTTTCTTCTTAATTTTTAATTTTTAAAAAGGATAAACCAAATATATGTGTTGACCTTGGCTTTATCATAACTTATTCTCTTGACAATTTTGAATTTGGAAATGAGCTATGCACAATAGGATTTAAGCTCTACTCTAGTCTAGGAAAAGATGTAAAGTTCAAGAAAAATAAGGGTTATTCAAGTTTGATTTAGGGCTAAAAGAAGTTAAGATTTAATTAGTAAAAATAATTATATGAAGTAAAATCAGACAAAGTGAAAATGATCGTAATTTATTTAAAAAAAATCATTTGGTAAAATTCAGGAGAAGAGAAGAGACGTTACCAGCAATATGATGGTGGAGACGTGTGCACTGTGCTCACTATGCATCTGTTGAACATCAAACCTAGTACCAGATAACATGAATATTAGGTCCAATGAACATAAGTGTTATAATTAAGATTATGATATATTCTTTAGAGTTTATATTCTTTTTTATGATCTTTGATTTTATGCTTGATATTCATCGGATGCGTTAAGTGCACTATGCGTATGCCTTTACCCATCCTATTATTGGACATACCTACTTAAACATGAGGTCTTAAGTTCTTGACACTTCTACCAAAAAAAAGGCCTGGTATAACCAAAACTACTTGGTAACAATGATGGGCTGCTCCAAAATCTAAAGTATTCAGTATCGGGCCTGACTGGCCCATATGCTGGGTAACCCAAAATAGGATAATGGTGGCAATACTTGTTACGTGGCGTTTTCTCAAGCCCCTTATAAATTCGTACATTTTCATTGATGAATTTATACAATTTGATGTAAATAGAAGTACTGTAAAAGAGTATGATACAAATTCATATTCATATTTCTCTTACACATTGCATCATGTTTCTCCTCAAGGTATTTTCTTTTTAAATGTGCAATTATTTTCCCATTTGGCTTTAATTGTTCAAATTTTTAATCAATTAACTGATTTAATTTTTTTAATTTTTTTTTGGGAAATGAAGGCATGGAGATTAGCAGCTTTTGGGACGTATGGATACCTAAACTTCACCAAGGCTGGTTTCATGTAAGTCATAATTTAAATGTGGGACCTCCATTTGTCAGTGTTTTCCCTAATATTTTTGCATGAATTAGGTGTCGTACATTGGTAGAAATTGTGTTTTTATTGTGATCTGCTATTATGTAAGTCATAATCTTTCGCTGTACTTTATAGTTTATGATTGAATTTTCTAATGTGCCGTTATTAAGTTTTGGATGGGTTGACCAGGAGAGGTTCTTTTTTTTTTTATATAAATTATGTCATATTCTTAAATACGAGGTATGGGAGCTTAATGCTTAGGAAAATGTGAGAAATAGTTTAGGACCTAGCTACCTAAGTTACTAATTAAGTAACAATAATTTATTTTAATTTTGATAGAAGCTTTTGGTTATTTTGTTGTGTGGTTGATAGTAATTTGGGGATGTCATAAAGGCTTAATTTTGAAATGTTGTTGGTTTTTAGCTATATAATCGTCGATTGTCTAGCCTAAACTAGTAATTTACATAATCTTGTAGTTGAACAATTATCTTATTGGAAATACATATTGAATTTTCATGTTATTCAACAGTAAGCTTATCTATCTATCTATATGCTTGTTTAGTTGTTTGGTTGACACAACAATATATGCGAAGTGGAAGTTCCTAGGAAGTGTAAGCATGAGAAATTGTTTAGTTGATATTTTCATAGGAAATTTTTTCTTCCCACAAAATAGAGGAAGTTGCTTACCTAGGTATCATAGGACATAGGTAAGTGGAACTCTCCTTGGGAAATTGGACTTTCCAAGATCAACCAAACAAATTGAAAATTTCTAAGAATTCCTAAGAAATGACACTTCCTATGCTCAACCAGTTGGTCACATATTTGTTGGCTATAATCTGGTGCGGACCTAATGTTTACTGTGTAGCATGGAAACGACTTGCGCTTCGGTAACATTAATGTTTAAAAAAAACAGAAAACCTCAAGCCTTGCCCATTTCTAGGCTGCATTAGCACGAAAACAGTGGATTTTCATAAATGGGGGATCTTCATGTACCAAATGTTTCCATGCTTCCTAGATGATATATTTAGTCTAGTGGGATCAAATTCAATTCTTTTTGTCACTAATCTTGCATTATACCATGAAACCGATGATAAAATGAAAAAAGGTGGGATGACAGGCGTAAGAATCCATGGGAGTGTCTGAAGGTTCTTCACTGTTGTCCAATATACTTGTCTTGATCAAAAGCTGTGTAGTTAAGAATTTGCAATGGACAAGAAAGGATACATACATGAGGGAGATAATAATTTATATGAAGGGGAAGTATTTGCACTTAATCTTTGGGATGTCCTGGGCTGATTAGTGGGAGTTTATTTGCATCATCGTTCTAAGGTTTGATTTGCAGGGTTTTGTTTTTGTTTTTTTTACTGATCAATACATTAGACCTCTCATTGTCCCCATATGCAGGTGATATTTGTATAAGATAATAATAACCGAAATTGATCACACACTAGAGAGGTATTACCCATCTAAGCTAAAAGTTGAGTCAAAATTTGATTTGTTTCATTAGTTATCATCAGAGAATGTTAATTAATATGAAGGCCTGCATTATGAGTGAAGTCTGAACTCTGAAGAATAACACTCATCAAATGTTTAGCTAATTGAATATCTGATTGTATATCTGCAGTTAGAGTTTCTCTTGAACTTTTGAACTTCATCTGTGTATAGCTGAGCTTATTTGCACAATTCCTGTTCTTCCTTCCTCTTATATGAGAAGAAAAGAAATTTCATGTTGTATATCATGTTCTGCTGTATAATCAATTTTTACTTTTAGAAATTTCATATCTTATGTTCTGTTAATTAATAATGTTATTCTTATGATTCATCCTAGTGATTTTGTTCTTCTTAAAGTTCTAAAATCTTTGTTTATCATTTAGAGAACATTCTAAAAACTTTAAAGCCGAAGATATGAAAGTAAGATTGGACGGAAAGAACTGTATTGTTACTGGAGCGAATACTGGCATTGGGTTTGCAACTGCTCAGGACCTTGCTTCAAGGTATTCCCTATGCTTTCAGAACTTTGTGCTTATCTCAATAATTAATCCAGAAAGCCGAGTTCTTATATGGAAACTAAGATCTTTTGGTCATGTTATATCTATTATTGTCAACAAAGGAGCGTCTGTCTACTTGCTGTGCCGTAGTAAAGAAAGAGGAGAAGTTGCTCTTTCTAAAATCCAAACTGAAACCGGAAACCAGAATGTTTACTTGGAGGTGTAGCTCACTCTCTATATAACTGTTATTTAGAGACTGTAGGGTCAATTATTGATCTTGTTATTTTCTGTTATTTCCATGAACTCCTTGGGATCTCTTGATTGTTAACTGTTTATTAGACAATAGTTGTTGCTCTGCTGATTGCAATTGTCTTCTAAATTACATGCGTAGATATGTGATCTATCTTCTTTGAGTGAAATCAAGTCGGTCAGTGCAAAATTTGCTTCAAAGGGTACCCCTCTTCACGTTTTGGTAAGCTCAATTTCATGTGAACTAGGATCTCTTTTAGTGTTTAAGATCTTATACCATTTGGGGTTTATTGCACTATAACCTTTTCGCTTTCTTCATATGACTCTAAATGCTACTTGTCTAATTTGCTTAACTGCTACAGGTCAATAATGCTGGCATTCTTGAAAATAATCGTATCACAGCTTCTGAAGGGTAAATTTATGCTTCTTCTGGTTAACAGAAATGCTACTACATTTATTTTTAGTTGCATTGCTAATAGAGCCTTTTCAATTGGTATCCTTTCAGCTTTGAGCTAAATTTTGCTGTAAACGTATTGGGAACTTATGCCATGACAGAGTTGATGTTGCCTCTATTAGAGAAGGCTGCACCTGATGCACGAGTGATTACAGTTTCTTCTGGTGGGATGTACACTTCTCCTCTGACAAAAGATTTGCAGGTGACTTGTCTTTAAATTAAAGAGCAGCTTCTTTTGTATGAACAAGAACCAGGTGTAGTTTGTGACTGTTTCTTTCTAATGAAGATCAGTGAAGAAAAAATTGATGGGGTGATGCAGTACGCTCGAAACAAGCGAGTTCAGGTCAGTAAAAGTATTCATGCAACATTTTATCTATTTTCTTATTTTTTAGCTAATGCGTTACTTCACCACTTGTAAAATCATCCTCTCCCTGGTGAACTTATCAAAGTTCTATCTGTCAAATACCAAAACATTGTGGTGAAGAATATTGTATACATATTCTTATATTCTCTAAAATGCCGGTCCTTTCAACTAAGATGATGTACATTCATGCGTACATATCTCTTAATTTTTGTTTTGTACAGGCTACATTATGAAATCAGTATGTGCATCATTTGTTTGTCTCAGGTTGCATTAACAGAATACTGGGCTGAAAAGTACAAGGATAAGAACATTGGATTCTATACAATGCATCCAGGTTGGGCCGAGACACCCGGAGTTGCAAAAAGTTTGCCAAGTTTTTCAGAAAAGTAAGAGCCAAAGTCTGTTGTATTCTGTTTACTTTGGCAACCCTTTTTTCAGATTAGTTGGCCTATTAAATATATCATGAGTTATGATAAAATAATGATATGTTTGGGAAACTAGAGTAAAGTCAAGTTTAATAGACCATTATGTTTTATGCAAGGTTGATAAATGTGGATCACTTATTTTATCAAAAACAGTTACCAGATCCAATTAATCAGAAATTTTACTTTGACACCTGATAGATTGTCTTGATAACATTTATTGATAATTGCTAGGTTATCTGGGAAACTTCGAACATGGGAAGAAGGTGCTGATACCATAATATGGTTGGCTTTACAACCCAAAGAGAAATTGGTCTCTGGTGGATTCTACTTTGACAGAGCTGCAGCACCTAAGCACTTGCCATTTGCAGCTACTGCTGGATCTCATTCTATTATTGATTCAATCGTTGAGAACCTTCGCTCTTTGTCCGGAAATCCATCATAATTCAAATAATTGTGTGCGCGAGCATGTGTATTCATTTCCTGTATAGACCAAGAAGTTGCATGTACAATACAGTCTCTTTTTTTTTCCTAATCGGCTCTTTGTACGCTTGATCTGTGTAGGTTTATGGTCTAACAAATATTCAAACCATAATGATGTATACATATTGACTATTGAGTTTATAATAAGATAATGTTACTCCCTTCGTTCCTTCTATTTGTTACATTTGGTTGTATTCGTTAGATTATTGATGTAAGTAAAAATGCTAATGCTAATTCCCTTATTTTTATCTTTTTCTACTCATTGCATTTTCCAAAAACATTATTTACACAATTACACTAAAATAAAAATCAAACATTGATTGCTTATTAGAAGGTTGTGAATTTCATTTTCAATGAATACAAAGTAGGAACATTGTTGGCTTAATAACTTATGTTGAAGATAAATCTGTGCAAAATTTATAAGATATATAGAACAAATTCCTTGTGTAGTGAAAGGAAACACCCAAAACAGTATACACAACAAATAACAAGGAACCAAAGGAATAAATAATGCTTATTTGTAGCCCTAAGAGATGCACATATCATTGCCCTAATTATTATAGCATATTAATGAAAAGCTGGTAATTTGAGCTAATACAGTTTGACAACAAAAGTGATAAATGATTCCCCTTTGGAAAATGAATAGCTGAAGATACTATTTATTGCTTATTCATAGACCATCATAGGCATACACGTTACTTAATTCATCCAACTGCAAGAGCAAATGTCATCTGAACTCTGAGCTGTTAAGGAACATACAAAACTAGAGCCGCATAGTGATAGTGCGAACTATGATTACAATATATGGAGTTCTAAAATTAGACAAAAATTTATACATAATATGGTTGTTTCATCAATGTACAATTATATCAATGTTTAAATGAATGATGATGCTCACAAATTCATGCTTTTGCCTATTTGTCAAAACCTGTACAAGTATCACAGATCGATGGAGGAAATGACCTGCAATTTACTATACCATTGAGGGATGCTGAACACTCGAATGGTACACACGAGACAGGCCGAGTCACTGGATCCAGTTCAAGTGCGGTCACCAAGTCAGTGGACCAAGCCAGGTATGTCCTGCAATAGAAACAATATAACCATTAATGATCTGAAACGTTATTATATTGGATTGTACTGTATATAATTTTGCATGTGTTGCTATTCATGATATTATATACTACTTCCATGGACTCATGCCATATAGTTCCTATGTTGCAAGGAAGCACAAAAGAGACATCCACATAAATGGAGCCAAACTACTTCGTTACTGCACTGTCCCAAACTACTAAAGGTGGATCAAGCATAGGGTTGATGACGTTGTGAAAGGATGTTGCTCTACTTCAATTTCCTTTTCTAATTGTTTGTATCAATTGATTTGCCTTAGCCTATGTCCAAAAAAAAAAGAAAAAACTAAAAAAGGAGTACTACATCACTGTGTCTATACATCGAGTTTTCTCCTGCACTTTAAGCATCTAAAAACAACGAGAAAAGGAGCAAGTGAAGAGTGGTGGACAATACAATGTCACATGTAAAACACACTCTTGATCATCTTCCGACATTCAAGAGGATGCAGCCTTTTCTTTCTATTTACCAGTGTTACACAATATGCAACATGTCGATGACTACACGGAATTATCACTTTTGGTTCATGTAGCCGACCCCTCTTATGGGATTAAGGCTTTGATTGATTGATTGACAGAATATGCAACATATTAGTGTTTTATTCATTCTAATATCAGACTAACCAGCTGCCACCACAACAGACCTAACATTTGGTAAATAGGTACTTAATAAATGTTTGTGGTAAGCATTATTGGTTAACATCAGCGACAACTCTAGGCTATGAATATTTCTCTACTTGAAACACACAATAAAAACAGAGGTGATAACCACACTAACAACCTACCACTAAGTATCCAGGGAAGATCTCTACATTAGAAACAAAGCTTTTTTACTTGCCTCTTTCGGTCTCAAGTGGCTCAATGCCGCATTCATTCTCTGGTCAAACACAATATCTTCATTTTCCACTTCTGCATTAGTAAATGTAAGGGCGCGCTGTAACTTTCTAGGAGAGAACACCTCCACCTCAATATCATATGTTGCAGTGACAGGTCGATGGTCAGACAAAATAAGTTCAGATCTTCTATAGTCGAGCTGCTTTATTCCTTTTCCGAATGAGAGAACGCGATCACACCTGAAAATAATTATTCATAGGTTTATTATTTTTACCCTACATTTCTTCACCACAATCTTCTACTTTATAAAATTAAAACTTTAAGATTTTTTTATAGTACTCGTCTGAAACATCAATTTTTTTTAACACGACCTAAAACATTGTGATAGATACATCCTGCAGGCTGCAGACTACAAAGTGTAGCACCATACTAGATTGTACTTCTGTTAGTTTTTTTTGGTGCAGTAATTTTACAATCTGTATAAGATTAGTTCAACTAATTTATTTTTCCAATTTTTGTTGAGACATGATTTCTAGAATAACTTATTTAACAAATCACAAGAATACTTACATTTGCAAAACGAATAATGTAACAAAACAATATAGAAGGAAAAGAGAAAAAAGAAATATAGTGGCGTTGGGGGGCTGGATGAGCTTTATTAAAACATTAGATAATCCTTCAAGACGAGGAAAGGTAATAGAAGAACCTAAGAAGATTTGGAGGAGAACAAAAAAAAACACACACATTCCAGATAAAATGGGGAAAAACACGAAAAAAGAAAAGTGGAATAGAAAATATAAAGCTAAAAATAGCAAAATTGTTTAAGGCACCAACTTATTTAGGAAAAGATAATACAATTTCTTACCATGCTGGATTACGCCTCCCCACTTTCAGGTCTTCTCCATAATAATTATCAGAATTCATCTCATATTTGTAAGTCGGTGGAAATTTTAATATGCCTTCAGACCATCCATCAAATACATGACCTTTTCTGAACTCTTTCACAAGCTGCAGTTATAAGTGTCACCAAGTTAATAATAATGACACTATAATGGGAAACCTGTCAACAAAATAAGTTATTCAAAGAAAGTTATCTTATCCTAAGTAGTACTTTCGTCTTTGGAATTACATGATTGTTTTCTTTTGAACACTAAGTGACAAATTCTAATTTACATCAATCAGGTTCTGTAACTTAGTACTACAAATTGCCACTCAATATATTTCGCATTCTTGATGATTTTCATTCACTTGTATACAACGGTGTGGAAGTTGACAAAAAGGCAATTATACATGACTAATTATGTTTCAGTTAGAAACTTGCATCTTCTATCAAACAAGAGAAGATCAAATCATATTCTGTAGAATCTACAACTCTACTTCTCTATCAGTCACATTGAAGGAGTTGCATATTCATGAAATGGCATATGCAAAAATTAATGAGAAAATAACATTAACATCTACAATCACTATCTAATATATGCAACTATCAACATCTTATTATTGGGATGATATTACTTTAGCACCTCAAATGCTTAACATTTTGCTAGAGTGGTTTTTTTTTTTTTTCCCCACTTTGATTCTCTTTTGGATATGTTATGACAATATTCTGTAGTTTGGAAAACATGAATAAGCATGCACTTCACACGAAAATTATCAGACAAATAGGAAACTAATATTTAGCCACTGCGAAGCAGCAGACAACCATTCCATGTCAAAGTCAAAATAAAGTTCAAGAAAATATCCCCTCCATTGTCACAGGGAGTAATCTGCATGAATCCGCTCCAAACCCTCACTCATCCATTTCAATACTTAAAGACTAGGGGTATGAATGACACATCGAATAGGAATGTCGTATAATGAGCTTCATACAAAATTAAAGCTTCTTTTAGGATCAGAGTCGAATCTTTATTCAATGTTTCTTTGCCAAAAAATAAAAATATAATCAACAAAGTTTAAGTGTGAAATCACCAAGGATAGGTCTCGCCTCTCGTTTAACAAAACTCATACAAGAGGTTTGAGCAAAATTCCCTTGATTGGCTCATTGGATTTGTCAAAATTTTAATTGTGCCCTTTTCTTCTAATTTTTTACTCCGTAGTTTGGAATTAAGTGAGCATTAATGTCTTCCAAAAGTAAGTAATTACCTGTTATGATTGACCAGCAGTAGCTCTAGTAGTTCACTTAATTTATTATAGTGCCAGTCAAAAGAGTTTGAATTTTGAACTATACAGCCTATACCATATCATGATATCCAGTAACACTTAGCTGACTTTTTTTGTCACTAATTCCAATCCCATTCTAAGGAAGCTGAAGATAAGCCTACAAAGCTAAATGTAGAAAACAAAGAAAAACTTATTTTTGGGTTAGGGTTGTAGTATATTAACTACATAAAAGCTCTTCAAACCAGCACCAGTAAAGATAATTCTGTAGTTTGAGATATGTCTAACTACTAATCCTTGTGTTTGCCTCTCACTCTTTTCAAGGTAGCCCCAATATGCTCTCATCGTTTAACATGGTGTGACATATCCCTAATGATAAACACCACCAACAAAAACATTAATTACAATGGTTATCTTCTTGACTGATGTAACATGGTGTGACAGGACAAGTTCCTCTGCCTGGAACCAAAGCTACAACTTATGGTTATGCAGATTCAAAATTAATGAAATGATTATGCCTCCAATTCAGAGAGTTGAAGAAAATTGGGTTCCCATTTTCACTTCTTATATATGCTCAACAACCTGAATCCTCCAACAGATGTAAGCTGATTAGTTTACATAGCTAATGTTACCAAAAGGTCAACAGATGATGCAACCTTACTGCACATTCAGCATAAAGCCATTCACAAATGAGTCACTATCAGATGCCACAACCGATCTTCACAGTGTACCAAAACATAAAACCCTACCAACCCAAAATAAATCTAAAAAGTCAGAATTCGGCACGCTCACGAGTCACAGTCAATGCAATGCATGGACATTCTCGTCAGGATAAAAAAACACTTGCACAAACAAAAAACTAAAGAGCTAGACCTCATAAAATAATGTTCTTGCATATGTAAGCACTGGAAGCTAGAGCTAGAAAAGCTCAAAACAATAATATAAAAACATGCCAGATGAAGGCTAAGTTCAAATTCCACGTGATTTTAGATGTATGGAAGATTCAAACAGAAATTTAACTTTGCTAGTGATTGAGAGAGAACTTTTTATTTGATTCTTTTCAGAGAGTAATATGTCTTTAGCTCATACCTGATCACATTCAACCAACTTGGACCATTCTTTTTCGGATATTAGCTTCCGTGTCTCGTCATATGACATACTGATGCGATAGTTCAAATCACCAAGCCAAATTATTCTTCTGTAAAGATGAACACATAACAAATGCCATGTATCAGATCAACCAATATAGTTTTTGCAGCACTTTTTCCCTAACTCCCCAGATCTCCAAATTTGTGCACCAATACAACATACAACTACAGGATAAAGAAAATATCACTTGCAGAAAATTGAGAACAAGAAGTGTGAATAAACTGAGCTTACTCGTGATCATAAATGCTTTTAGGAACTCCAAGACCTGAACCTGTGCGAAAGTATGTTCTTCGGTGTATTTCATTCACATCAGCATTCCGTTTTAGTTGGTCAGCTTCCTTTTCCCCAGATGTCAGGTGAGTACATATGAAGCAGAAAAGAGTCTGATATATAGACATGCTGATAGAAACTGCTCCCTGTAAATCAAAAATAAAATTGCACGAGTATAAAAGGTACAGTTCATGAGGCAGAAGATGCAAGTGGAGTGTTTGTTCCTTTTATATTTATATATATACAGGAAAAGGAATTCCATCAGTAGACAAAATAAATAAAACAGACATATAGAACTCCAAGGTTTAATTTTTTTACGTGTGTTCAATTCACCTGATTTCCCTTATTTGAACTTATCTGACCTTAATTGAACTTATCTGAACTTATTAAAACTTATTTAAGTTGTAATTTGAACTTGAATAACCCTTATCAGAACTTATTTTTCCTGAACTGAACTTATCATTGGACAAGTTTAAAGTCAAAATTCATACAGATGATCATCTGGAAGTCATGACTAACTTTATTCAGATGAGTTTTTGTTATCAAAACAAATAACGAGAAACTAGACAAGTTTCATAGTAAAAAATGTTTTTGTCACATGAAATTAAGGAAGAAACGATTGAGATCCAATTTGGTAAGATTCTCTTAATATAGTTCATGGACCAGTCAAAACTGTAAGCAAACTAATAAGTTCTTGTTTATTTATTTAAACAAGGAACAAGCAGAACCAGAAGTGGTTAAAAGGAAAATCATGGAGCAATGCTGATTCTCAGAAAGTATAGCACCATGGTGTTACCAAAAGATTAAGAATGCATAGAAATGTGAAATGAGGTTCGATCAGAATCATAAATAGGCACCTATCAGCAAAAGACTTATATATTCATGTGTCTATCCATATGCTAACTTTACACTTACCCTCAAAAAAGCTTCCCATGTAATTCACCCATAAATACATAAGAGACTTCGACTGAGATGGAGACATGGAGAAAGGGTATCAAGATATAGCTCAATATACAATTTTTTGATTGTATAAGAACCATCTCATTGTAAACTACTCACTAGTTACATTGGTATCATAAGGCAACCTCTAAAGATGGAACACCTTGATTCCCACTCACCATCTAAATTTTGGTATGGGCTGCATGCTTAGTATTTAAGAAAACAAACTAATAAAGGAGCTCTTTGAATATATTTCTGTGCACCTGAGCAATTACTCCAAATCGAGTAGGCTAGAAGAAGAAATAAATTTATGTTTAGCATAATTATGTAGAGAGGTGACTCTATCAGACATTACCAAAATCAGAACTAAGCTTCTACATACATAACTATAGAGTAGAAGGTCAAAGAAAGGAGGATGTAAAAACATGACAAGATAAGAAAAGATTTGGAAAGAGACAAACCTTGTTACCAATATAGCCCATAACACCAACACCAACGGTAGACACCTTTAAGTTCTGTATATGTTTGCGCAAGTCTTTACGAACCCATATAGTGAGGAAAATTCCAACCATTTGCTTACTTGCTATCCTCACATATTCTGGTCTTCTTTTCCGTCGTATAAGTGTTTCAAGATCAAGTTCTGCAACCGTGGTAACATCTGGCAAATTCTTGTAGTCACCGTTTATCTTAAAAGAATTGTATGCCCTAAATGATTTAGACATCTTACAAGATTTTCCTGACTTAAAACTAAGCGGTCTCTCCAAAACACGTTGAGCTAACAAATCTAGGGGAGGCTCAGGCCAGCTCAAACCAATCCTTTCCGTTCCACTTAATGTCTTAGTTAATTTCGATGTCATTGGATTGATGGCGAATACATCACCTGCATTCAGAGGACCTGACTGAAAGCTTTGTAATCTCTCAAATCTCTTGGAAGGTACTGTTTGCCTTTTCAAATCCTTCTCTACACAAACATCTGAATAAGGTATCTCGTCACCTCTTGAAACTCCAGGGTCTTTATACATTCCATCACCACTGACCAGTTTGTCTCTAACTTCATAAAATCCATTGAGCTCCTTATCCACAGGATACACTTCCTCCTCCCCTTCGCTATCAGAACCAAGTGATATCTCATCCTCTATATCAGGAACATCATCTGACGGCTTGAACTTTGATGGAGAAGGGGGATCACTGTAGCTTTTAAAGCCCTTCTTAACTGTAACTCTACTAAGTGTCTCTCGAATAATACTTTCCCATTGCAAGGCTGGTCGGTTATCTTCAGCCCCAAAAATGTTACCAGCATTCAGTGGTACAATTTCCTGGAGACTATTTTATATATTTAAAAATGATCAAAATCAATATTAATTTTAAAATGACTGAGAAAGAGGGTGGAAAATCATGCTATTATATAGTACAGCAAGCCAAAGGAAAAGAACATAACACTTTTGAACGAATTTTTTGCATTTGCCAAGGCATGCATATGGAGGAGTATGCAAGTGCTTTGAAGGCAGCCTCATAGAAATAAATAAAGGTGATCACACTATTAATAAAATTCAAAATATATGAATGGGAACAGATAGGGAGATACTTTAAGAATTACAACAAAGATCTTACCCTAGCACGTAAATATCAGATGGTTCATTGATGTTTATCCAATCCTCAATATCAAGATCATCAGGCGGAAATTTTCCACCAACATTCCAAGTCCCAACACATACTCTACAATATAGGAAGAAAGAATTCAATAAACATAGCTCAGCAAAAGAAACAACAGAACTTTTCAGTATCCAAGATGAAACAAGTACCTGATATCCTTCGTATGTATATATTGAGCCCTGAAAGTTTCAGAGTTTCGCCTTCTCAATCGTGGTAGGTTGTCTGAAATTTAAATGTGCAGATTTATGAGAGGACATATAATGTAAGGGAAAATATGCAATGCATGGACATTATCCATGGACAAAAAAACGAAAGTATAGTTCACTGAAACTCTCATATTTAATTAGATTTACAACATTGCATAGAATAGCTCAACTATATATTCTGTCATCACAGCAACTTCTACCAAAATACAGAGGTACTTCTTCCAACCATTTTTACCTTTTACATAGTTTTGGAAAAGAGAATACTCATGAAAAGTTGATTAGCAGCACACACTTATATAGTTTACTCATCAGAACCAGCAATATTTATCTATCTCACTTTCGATACCTACTAACACACAGTCAAGTAGTCAACCATATAAGACTAGGGTCTCTGAAAAGGTGGATATATCCATCTTGAATATTCATAAATGGGTGTCTAACAAATGTAACAATCATGAAGAGCCGGAGCAATATAGCTCTAGAATACAATGATTAGCAGCATCGAGTTTCATGAAATCTTGAGTAAAAGGAACAGTGTATAATCATTAATTTTTAGCAGTTTGCTATTTGGTTATGGGAAAAATGTGGACAATTGGGTACTGTAAAGTTCAGATTTTGATTAGTTTTCCACAGTTTTTCCAACGCCTTTGAAGGATAAACAATGGATTAACAAATTTGGTAAAATATACATAGCTTTAAACGAGATTTACTCATACTTTCCCAGATATTTTTTTCCATAATTTTCCTCTTAACAACCAAACATTGTCAAAGAATTTCTCAAATTTATACGATTTTGCCTAGAAGTTTCTCATTAAAAACTCTGAACTTCCAAACACACTGTATATAAGACCATTAACTATGGCAACACTACAATCAATATGACCGATATTCTCGTGTCTCTTTCATTGTACAGAATAATTCCTAAGTATTTTCTGTACATTGAATAAAACCGAATTCGACACTGTTGATTCAACTAATTGCATAAAATTAGCACTCTAACTAAAACTCTCACATCTCTTCCAATTTACCATCGTCTTTAGAGCCAATAATTCCTAGCCGAAAAAAACCAAATTCGACACTGTTGTTGATTCAACTAACTGCATAAATTTAGCACTTTAATCTCTCTAATCACCTAGGCAACTTGAATCTTTCTCACATCTTCCATAATAAAAAAAAATTGCAAACTAACTTCCTTAATCAAAAAAAAAATCACTAAAATTATACAACTCCCAAAATAGAAAACCAAATTCTAAAACATAATTAGTATACCCTGAATCCAAAGTAACTGTCACTATCAAAAATCAAACTTTACCAATTCAAACAAACAGCAATTAATTAATGACGCCAATAAATACTATTTATACAGTAAAAGTTACCAATCATGCAATAAAATGTTCAAATTCCATGATCCTAAATACAACTTGACATAACATAAAAAAAAATATATGTATACCTTCTTCATCAACAGAAGCAAGAGAACCAAACAAATCATCGTCGTCTTCATCATCAATATCTTCTATATCCGTATCGGCGCTGTAATCGGAATCCTTGGAAGAGATATTAAGCCATTTGCGCAGAACAACTCTAGGCCACAACAGCTGCAGGCAGGTGCAACCCAAACAACATAACTCAGCCCAACTCATCTTACCATTACCAGTACTTGAACTAGTACTTCTTTCTCCATTTCTCTACAATTTTATTTACTTCCAATTGTAAAATTTGATCAAAAAAAATTCTGGGAAATTTTTTCTGCTCTCAAATTTTATGTTTTTTGAAAATATAAAGAAAGAAAGTTTACCCTCCAATAATTTGAGATTGAGGTTAATAGTGATGATATTAAGACATAATTACCTCTAATGATCGGCGGCGAGTGTGACGTGGCTGCATCCTGGATAATCTAGAAGCGTAAAAAGTGAGTTTAGAAGAGAGAGACTTAAAAGCTGTATTTGCTTGGTGGATGGAGTTGAGATAACCACCACTTCATTACTAATTAACGGTATTTTTTTATGTGTTTAATTAGTTTAATTTTTGTATGATCAACTAATTCATAAGTCATTCGGGTCATCGGGTGGTCCTGTAATTTATCTTAATATTAACCCGACCTGATTCGAACCGAATGACTTGTAATCTAGATTTGGTCAAAATCAAACACAACTAGGCTAGAGCGGTAGACTATTAAGTGCTTCACTGCTTCTAGTTTGACACTGAATGAATAAGATAAGAAATCTTGAGACACTTCTTTTTGAATCAATCATTTATGATTCTGTTTTTGTCCATTTGTTTATGCATTTAGGAAAATAAAAATACCTTCTTATTCTTTTCCATTTGTCTATGCATTTAAGAAAGAAAAAAATACTTTTGCGTATACAGAGTACATTGAAATCAACTATTTCATCCGTCCCACTAAAAGTGCTCCATTTAAAATCAAAAAGTTATACGAGAACAACAAGTGATCAAATGGGTCAATTTCAATGGAACAAAGGGAGTATTGTTATTTCAATCCTACTACTTGTATCTAACATACAACCACGAAGTATTGCCAAAGTGGAATTGAAAATCTCTCATAATAATTTATTATAAGATTGTGATTTTCAACACTTTTTTTTAGTATTTTAGTTTGACCGTTACATTTGTTAATGCATAATTTTAACCAATAACTATCATTATGTATAATTTACTATTTAATGTTGATATTCAAAAATCATACATTGAAACATAAGACGGTCTCACTTAAAACTTGATCGTTACAAGTACAAATACGCCTACTCTATAGGCCGTACCGAGTATAGTAGTAGTATCAGTATAGAAATTTGCGTAGTCGTACTATACTAGAATTGAATAGTGACCACAAACAAGGGGGAGGGGTGGTGAGGTGGGACCACGCGCCATTGAGTAGAAGTGGAAATGAGTTATGTCCGTATGCCAAACGTCAATTAAAACTTTGTAATAAATAAAGATTAAAACTTTGTAATAGTCGACCCACTTGGCCACTAACAAGGTCAATGCTGTATAATTAGGATCGTCTGTCGACTGCTAAATGCTAATGCATTATGCAAAAACTTTACTGTTTGCACGCCATGCTTCTGCTTCACCACTTCGGGATTTTTTTGGTTATCGTTTTTTTTTTTTTTTTTTCAGTTTATCCGTTTTCAGATTATTTGAATTGAATATTGAATACAGAAATCAAAAGAAAGATACGGGTGCGAGTGATGAGAATCGATCTCATGCTCACCTAGAATTGAAAGAGAAGTTTTAATCACTTGAACTATCTCTCACTCTTCATGAGATTCAATGTTCTACATGTATAGTATTTGTTTGATTTATAAAATACAGTTTGCATAACTATACATGTTTGTAAATTACATAATATACTCGAAATCACAATTTACTATATACAACTACTTCCTCCGTCCCCAAATGTTTTTTTCCATTTTAACTGTGCATATTTGTCAATGCAAGACTTTGACCATAAAAATCGTTAGTTGCTCATTAGTGAAAAATATAACTATGTTATTATGTCTTATATATTAAGAGTAATTTAAAAGATTCTCCCATTATATGAGTAGTGTCAAAATACCAAATGGGAAGAATAGTAGGAACGAAGAGAGTATTTAGAAATAATATAGCACACAAATCGTAGTAATTCATTTTTATGTTTTTATTTACAATTTTAATTTAAACTACTGGAGTATAATTTATTATGATATGAACCTTATATTTTTTGACAACATGATATCCATCACGCTCTCACATATATATATATTACACGTAAGATACGAGAGTGTCCATCCTATCACATGAGGGGTGGGGTGAGAATCGAACCCAAGTCACTCTTGGGGGAGATGGAGGGACAAATTATCCCTCCATTCCATGTTCCTCTCTCACATGTACAATATAGGCTTGATATAAACGTTGCATAATGATCAATTTGATTTCTTATGCATATAATTTCGACACAAGCTGACGAGCCCATACGATAACCCTATTTTAGCTCTTCCTTTTACTTATTCATCAACTGCCATCTTTATAAAAAAAGCCTTGCACCAACCTTAGACGGTGGCGTCATAATTTATTAATTCATCACGTATTATCCAAATTTCCCTTATGAGAAGGGCTTCTTAATATATATTTTTCTTATCTTCTCTTTTCAAATAACAACAAAAAAATTAAAAAAAAATATACTTTGTATTTTACTAGTCCAACTTTTTCTGTTTTAGTGTTTTAATTTACTTACTCCATCGTCTCTCAGGTGTGCTAGGTGAAATAGGAGGTAACAGTTAATGGGTAACAATTATAAGGTTTCAGTAACCTTATGCCTAAATGAGAGAAAATGTTTGGGCTCGAAATTTTTGCCCCCTAAATAAGGGTAATACAATACCCACCCACCCCCTAGTGTAATTATTTCAAGGTTAAAAAAATTTCTTCTTCTCCATTTTAGTCGTCATTCTTTCTCTCTCATCTTCCTGGACCAGCTTTTGGATTAATTTTTTTTTTTTTAATCATATGAGAATTTCTGGTAAAATTGTTTCTCTTTTTTTTTTATTCGGTTTTTTTTTTTTTTTTTTTTGAGAAGTTTTCCATTCGAATGTTAGTTTATGAATCTGCATCGAATCTCTCTAATCTTTGGTAATATTTTGTTTATTAATTTTTTTTGGATTATTTGTTTGAAATTTCAACAAAATATAATATATAATTGAAATTAACTTTTTGTACTGTAAAATTTCAGTAAGACGAAGTTATCATGCATAAATATTTTGATCCAATAAAAATTAGGCTAATAACACCCCTACAAAAACTAGGCACTAACAACTTACACATTTTATATATTAATTCTACATGTCGTTGGTTTTTGATATTTTTTTTTTTTTCCAAATATGATTAGAAGAATTTTTGTAAATTTGAATGTGCGGATGATATTAGAAGTAATAATGAGAAGTGATAGTATTTTTTGAAAAAAAATAAAAATAGAGAAGTGAACAAAATTTGAAGATTAAGGTTTTGGAGGTTTGTCATTAAAAGTTGGAAAAATGACTCTGCATCTATAATATAGATTGTCTTTATATTCTACTCCACAATATTTATTGTTTATAGAGTTTTAAATTGTTGCTTATTATAGTAGTTGATCATTCAGAGCCAAACAATTGAAAAAAAAAAAAAAAAAAAAAACCCTACTAATGCTCATACTATTTAGATCCATTCATTTAGAAAGAGAATCTTTGGCAACATTTCTTAGTACAAAATTTTCATAATTGAAATTAATTGTCTAACCAAAGAATAGCAGGAAAAAAATAGTAGTGGTTGGTAATAATTATTTAATTAAGGCTGATTAAAGTAGAGATGAAGTAACCCCAATAGATAGATATTTTAGAAAAAATAAACAACTCCAATAGATGAGCTCTTTATTTTATAGGACTTGTGTAAATGTCATTAAACAACTAAAAAAGAATGGACTAACTTAGTAAAATATAGGAAATTATTCCTTTTAATTTGTCTCATTTAAATCTATTATTTGAAGAGAGATGATATTATGAGTATAATAGTTTTAATCGTGTTGAATGTTGTTAATTTATCTCAAGTGGTGTTTTCGAAATATTAACTACTAATTGAAGATTTTTGTGTGCTCAAATGTGTGCTTGGAAAAATAATGCAAAAAAAACAAAACTATTAACTATTACTAAAGCAAAACATTGCTGACATCATCTCTCCTCAAAACTGTATACATGTCGCTTTCTTATGAAATTTTTTCTCGCCTAAAACCATTGATGATGTCATTTTTTTGTGAAAGTTTTTTTTTTCTGAAAGAATTTTTTTTTTTTCTTTTGTGTGATACTTCATAAACAAGCTAATTAAGTTCTTTCAACAACTTTAATCTAGAAAACCGGAGTATAGTAAATTGAATAGCAACTGTATTCCTTTCTTTTGATTTAAAGATCTATCATTCCCTGTCCTTAATTCCTTAACACTAATATTCAAACGTTCAGAAATTTCCTGAAATATTCAAACTGTATTTCTTTTAAGAAATCTCCTTCCAATGAATTTATGACAAAATTGAAAAGATTCATTAATACGAGTTCTATACTATAATTTTTTTATTAAAACCGTGTATTGTACAGGGATAATCTAGTGAGACAAATAAAAGAAAACAAAAGGAATACTTAAGAAAAGAAAAAAAAAGTACTAGTAGAATATTAGTGCATATTCTCAAGCTAATATGATAAAATGGTAGGGAAATTTAAATATAACCATTGCCCAAAAAAGTCGACATTATACTCAATGACCCTACTAATTTCTTTATCCTTCCAATTTGCCTAATGACCCTATACGCATCAATTAACATGTAGATCGAGATGACCAGAAGCAACAGTTAAGATCAATAATAACGGATCACATGCACTATAAGAATGAAGTGGGACTATTTTAGCTTAATGCTAAAGCAATAACTAAATTGCTCCTTTTTTTTTTTTTTTTTTTTTGAGTAAAACTTGTGTATTTTTCGTATCATAATTGGTTAGTTGGTAGAATTTTAGAGGTGACGAGAGGCTAGCCACATCCACTTAACATCTATAGAAAGATAAATTCTCAACTTCCAAATTGATCAGTATCAACGAGTGCAATAGAGAAACCATAGATGCCCTAACCAACTAGCTATCCCTTGTCGACGAATTATATTGGATATCCATTTCGCCTATACAAACATCCACATGCCCTCCGCGACAATATAACACTTTATATCGAAATATAATTGTGGAGATTGCTTTATATTTAAAGACAATAATTGTAAATTATCAAATGGAAGGAGATTTTAAAAAGAGGTTGAATGTTCAATTTGTTGTGGAATCAACTATATATATATATATATATATATATATATATATATATATATATATATATATATATATATATATATATATATATATATATATATATATATATATATATATATATATATATTGGGCTTCATTGTGACTTGTGAGGTTACTATTCCACTTCCTCCCAAAAAATAGGATTGTATATGATAATATTGGATTAGTGATTAATCACTATGACTCGTCATATTTTTATTTATTTTGAAAGTTATTAAGTAAGATTAATAAATTGATTCTCATGTGATAATTCATGTACAAAATAGCTCTTCGTTAGCTTTTCGGACTTAAAACTCATTTCTTTGTCTCTCTATTGTCTTTTATTATAACAAACTAATTAATTTGTTCTATATAAAAGACAATAGATCAGAGAAAACGAAAGAAATAAGTATAAGTGCGCGGGTCAAAATTGCCTCCTATATGAGTAGCACTACATACATCATGAATTATTTCTTATTTCACGACCCTCCTTTAATATTCTATAGTGTATATAATCCATTTCTAAAAAAACAAAATTCATGTAAAAATATCCTCAATTAAGTTAAAAAAATGGTGGGGTTTTAAGCACAAGAGTTGTTGATCTGACTATAACGTGCAAATGAGAAATAAATACAATATACATATGTAGACATAAGATAGAGAGCTAAAGATAAGATTTGATCAATTGGGAAATTCTATTGTCGGACCAAAATTTTATGGAGAAGGAACCATTTCCACAAATAGTAAGCTTTTTTAGGACGGTGTTTTAATA